CCCTGATTTTGCACTACCCACAGCTAGCCTGGTTATCAACAAACTCAAGTGTAGGCACTTGGACACGTCCCTGGTTACACTGGAACCTGCGGTACAAACAGGGTCTTGCCTCTCCCACCCTCCTGCTAGTACTTTTCAGGGTGTGTGTGTGTGTGTGTGTGTGTGTGTGTGTGTGTGTAAGGTGGACCCAATAAGGCCATGCATCTCTATAGATCTTGTCTCTGCTGCATGCTCAGCCCCAAATTGTCCTGCCCCAGGGACGCCTTTATAAATAATCTAGAGCCACAGTGGGACACAAGCCCAGCTCAGAAAACAGGCTTTTTTATTTTTTATTTTTTTATTGTTTTTGAGACAGAGTCTTGCTCTGTTGCCCAGGTTCGAGTGCAGTGGTGTGAACTGGGCTCACTGCAAGCTCTGCCTCCTGGGTTCACGCCATGCTCCTGCCTCAGCCTCCTAAGTAGCCGGGACAACAGGTGTCCACCACCACGCCTGGCTAACTTTTTGTATTTTTAGTAGAGACGGGGTTTCACTGTGTTAGCCAGGATGGTCTCGATGTCCTGACCTCGTGATCCGCCCACCTCGGCCTCCCAAAGTGCTGGATTACAGGTGTGAGCCACTGTGCCTGGCCAGGAAACAGGCTTTAGATAGGACCCCCTCTGCCCCCAACTCCCTTAATGATAGGGGGCATGAAGGCACAGGGGCTAATTCCCGACAGGAACCAACCCCCTACCCTGTTTCACATTGGACGGAGAATGTTCCACTCTTTACTCCCCAAGTCCCTCCATGCCCTCACCTGGACATCAAGGAACAAGTAAAATCAAGAGTGAGAGACAGCTGAGTCCACCAAAAGTACAAGAGCTAAACACATGTGGAAAATAAGACAAGAAGCTGCTAAACTCTACAATCACAACCACTACTTGGGAATTTAATACAAGCATCAAAGAAGCAAAACATCTGAAAAGCACATGGCATTCATGAGAGCTTATTAAATTCCAGGGATGTCTCAGAGCTAGCTTTCTGGACATAGTAGTGCGGGCCTGGCCAGATACGAAAGGGGGATGGGGACAAGCAGCAGAGTGGGAAGCCTCCTCTGTAGGTAGGAAAGGTCAAAGAAATATGAGCCTTGTTTCTCAGAACATACAAAGTGCTATGTCTCAATCTAGTTAAGCATTAAACAAAACGAATTAGAAACAAATCCTACTCTCATAAGCCATCTCACCCTATGCTTGCTCACTTATCCTCTCTGGAAGCAAAAACAAAGCCTTTTTCTATCTTTCATGGTTTAAATGAAACCAGAGATGGTTTAAATGTACTCAGATCTCTTCCAGCAATTCTTATTCCGGAGTAACAGAATTCTAATTTTACAGACCCCCACAAAAAGCAAAGAGGTAATACTACTTCAGGATTTTTAAAAACTCTTTTCTTTTAATCACCCAACCCCACCCTATTTTTTCTTCAGCATTGTATCATCACCCAGGATTTTTTTTTTTTTTTTTTTTTTTCCTTCAGACAGAGCCCTTCTCTGTCGTCCAGGCTGGAGTGCAATGGCACGATCTTGGCTCACTGCAACTTCTGCCTCTCAGGTTCAAGCGATTCTCCTGCCTCATCCTCCTGAGTAGTTGGGATCATAGGCATGCGCCACCACACCCAGCTAATTTTATTTTTTTAGTAGAGACAGGGTTTCACCATGTTGGTCAGGCTGGTCTTGAACTCCCGACACTTCAGGTGATCCACTCGCCTTGGCCTCCCAAAGTGCTGGGATTACAGGCATGAGCCACCGTACCTGACTATATGTTTTATTTTTACTTTAGATTCAGAGGGTACATGTGCAGATTTATTACATGGGTATATTGCATGATGCTGAAGTTTGGGCTTCAATTGAACCCATCATTCAAACGGTGAACATAGTACCCAATAGGTAGTTTTTCAGCCCTTCCCCGACTCCATCCCCGTTTTGAGTCCTGTGTCTGTTGTTCTCATTTTTTATGTCCAATACCCAGTGTTTAGTTCCCACTTAGGAGAACATTCAGTATTTGGTTTTCTGTTTCTGCATTAAGTCACTTAGGATAATGGACTCCAGCTGCATCCATGTTGCTGCAAAGGACATGATTCCATTCTTTTTTATGGCTGTATAGTATCCCATGGTGTATATATACCACATTTTCCTGATCCAATCCATCGCTGATGGGCACCTGGGTTGATTCCACGTCTTTGCTATTGTGAATAGTGCTGTGATACACATGTAACTGCAAATCACCTGAGATGTTAAATATTTGTTTGGCTATTGGTTCCCACCACCAAAACTCCTTGTGCCCCACAAGAACACAAACTCCACTCTTCACTGCTGTCCCCACTGGCCCTGCCAAATACCCAGTACATGCTCAATATTTCCTGAAAGAATGAAAGGGATTACTCCATGTGTTATACCAACCACACCAAGTACAGCATTGCTTGTAAATTGTGCTTTAATTTCTGCAATCAGATATGATGCAGTGAGATACAAGTAAAAACTTTCATTGTGCATCCAGAAAATACAAAGCACATGGATACAGGTTTAGCTCAGCAGCTTATTCCCTTATAAAGAAAAAGGTTTTGAATTTAAAGTTAGTTTATCTTCAGTGTAAAAACCTGGAGGTATAAACAAACTCAAGATAATTATATACAGTAAATTATTTTACATTTCCAAACTTGCACAGTACAGCATTTTAAACAAAGTAAATGGTCTCATTTCAGCTTTCACTGTTAAGCATAATCCATGTCCCAATCTCGGATAAAAATTTCACAATATATAAACCCACTGAGAATTCTGTACACAAATACAAGTTATAGAAATCTGATTTCAAATATAAATACAAAAATTGTCATGACCTTACACGTTACAACAGCTTATTTTTCTACTGTAATTTTAAAAAAATCATAGAAAAATATTTCAATGCACATTCAACTGCTATGACAAAGGCCATGACCTTGTGCCTTTAAACCATACTTTGTAGAGTGTAAAGCATCACACCGGGCATTTTTGGAATGAAAATTACGAAGCCTGAAGAGGCTACTGTATAAATATTCATGTTATAATGTGGTAACAAAAATAGCTCCATAGCATATTTGGGAGGCAATGGGGCAGAGAAGGAAGTGGAGGTTAGTGCTAATTTAAGAAGGCCTATAGAATGTATGTGAAGGTAGCTAAGGAACTAGTTAGTGTATTTTAAAATCCCTATTGCAAGCCTAACACTGACCTTGCTAGTAACTCTTAAGGCAATCGAGACGGAACATGTGTTTGGCCCCTGGATGCACGAATCCTCCTCTCCCCTCAACCTTTGTTCATCTTAACAGACCAACTTGGCTCCTGCACTAATACGGAGTGGGGAGAACAGCAAAACAAGTCACTGTATGCACAAAAGACAATTCAGTGCAAACCTAGAAACTCCTCCTAGTCAACAGTTCCCAGTTTTCTTTGTTTGGGAAGAGGTCTTGCTCCATCACCCAGGCTGGAGTGCAGTGGCACGATCTTAGCTCCGCCTCCCGGACTCATGGAATCCTCCCACCTCAGCCTCTCAAGTAGCTGGGACTATAGGCATGCGTCACCCCACCCGGCTACTTTTTGTATTTTTAGTAGAGATGGGGTTTTGCCATGTTGCCCAGGCTGGTCTCGAACACCTGGGCTCAAGCAATTCGCCCGCCTCAACCTCCCAAAGTGCTGGGATTACAGGCGTGAGCCACCATGCCTGGCCTCAAATTTTCTTATTGCCCTTGAGTAACTAACTGAAAGCTTTTCTGGATGGGCGCAGTGGCTCACGTCTGTAATTCCAGCACTTTGGGAGGCTGAGGCAGACGGATCACGAGGTCAGAGACTGAGACCATCCTGGCTAACAAGGTGAAACCCCATCTCTACTAAAAATACAGAAAATTAGCCAGGTGTGGTAGCAGGCGCCTGTAGTCCCAGCTACTTGGGAGGCTGAGGCAGGAGAATGGCGTGAACCCAGGAGGTGGAGCTTGCAGTGAGCCGAGATCTTGCCACTGCACTCCAGCCTGGGTGACAGAGCCAGACTCTGTCTCAAAAAAAAAAAAAAAAAAGAAAATTTTTCTAAACATGTAACATTCAAATTGGGATCCATACTGAAAAGCAAATATATGTAAAAAGGCAAACATTCAATTTAAAACATTCTAATGAGTTTTGGTTTCTTCCTCTTTTATGGGATTTGACAGGGTTCCACTGAGAACAAAAAAATCAAAAAACAAAAAACAAAAAAAAAACTGCTCCTTACATACAAAGTACACTTTCCTGCATTAAAAAGAAAAAAAATATATGTATGTGTGTGTGTGTGTGTGTGTGTGTGTATATATATATATATAAAATTTAGACAGCAGATCCAAGAAGGAGACCAGGCATAGTCAAGTTTCTTCTATGGCTTTTAAAATCACTGAGGTATCATATGATAATCACTTCTGATACTTATGTTTAAACTGCTTTCCTATGAAAGCCACATTCAAAAGTGACCCAATCCCATCAGTCCATAAAGATGAAAGAATGTGAGGAACTTGGCTCACGGGTTGCGGCAGAAAACCGCAATCACAAGTGCTCCAAATCCTCAGCAGGCAAGTAGAAAAAGGCGAAGCGATTTGTTCCAAACAACGAGAGACTCCAGAGGAATGGAAGCTCCTCAGGAAGGATGTCAGGCAAAGAAACAGATCCCCACAGCGTAACCAAGAGGTTTGGCAATGAGACACTGGGACTACGCGCACCAAGGCAGGGAGTGTAGAGGGACAGCGGCGAGTGGTGTGGAGCAGGCGGAAGAAGACCTGGGGCTGGCAGCACAGAAAAGAGGGTGGTGGCTGACTAGCCCCCACCCACAGGCAAAGCATCAGGATGGATGACACCAGTGGAACTTCCCAGGTGTTTTACAGGCAAAGGGGCATAGAAAGAAAAAATGTGATGGTTTAAGTAAATGCCACACATCTTAATACCTCTATCTGAATCTTCAACTCACCATACAAATACGTAAAGTTGAACTTGCTTCTATAATTGACATGGGTTACACAGAAACTTACTATTTCCAATGACTGGATAAATTATCTTGGCACAAAGAGGGTCTGAAGAAAGTATCAAGTCCAAGAATATCTTACTGAAGCCCTTTCTGGTAAACTGGCCATTGCACGCTCTGTATAATACTTAGGCATCAGAAAACGGCCACAACCCTGTTACGGGTCAAGTAATAATTCCTTCCAATTAATAATACTACAGATGCAGTTTCAATTGCATAGTCTTTTAGAACCATGAAACAATAATGAGAGCCACCTCTTTTCCCGAAGGCCCAGCTTTACTCCAACGGAGTGCCGGGCTAAGGACCCGGCCAGCATTAGCTGCTGCGTGACACGAATCCGGGGATCAGCTGTGCCAATCTCCCACAGTCACTCTTTCACAGTCACTCAACAAACAGGTCACACATCCCCTAGGTCCACGAACTCATCTTCTCGTTTGGCCAAATCGTCTTCATCTCCCAAAGCTTTCCAGCCACTGGTGGGTAAGACCGGCTTAGAGGAATGTCGCTGGAGCAGAGCGAAAGGAAACAAAGAGGACAGGCGGGCAGAGTTCCTCAGCAGGCAGGGGGCCTCAGCCTGGGGGGCCTGCTGGCTGTAGTGTCTCTCGTCGATCTTCTCTTGTAAACTCTGGACTTCCTCTATCATTTCCAAGAGTTTGCTCATAGTGGCCACTCGGCTACCACCTAGGATTTGGGCTTCTGGAATCCAGCGCAGGTAGCGCTGGGCCCAGACTTTGATTTCGGGCCCCTCAATATGCGGTAACAACAAACCATGGTAGTCAGTGGGCTTGCTATGCCAGCTGTCATAGAACTCTCGAAAGTTGTCTTGGAGCTCATCAGAAGAATTAATAAGTTTGCTAATTCTCTTGCCCAGAAGGTTTTTAATCAAATGATCTGTTTCTTCCCTGAAAAATCCTCTTTTGGGAGATGACTTAGATTGCGTAAGTGGCAAAGAAAGTTGTCGTTGATGCTTTGAGAGGAAACACAAATAAAAATCGCTGGTTAACATCACAGGCACAGTTAACAGTTGTTACCATAAAAAACAGAGCATAACCCCGCTTTAACAAGTTCCAAGAGACATCAGTGTTGCCATGTGAATGCACACTCATTAACACACGGTGACATCCAGAGGTGGAGTGTTCCTGTGTATTCTCAAGGTACACACTGTACCAGAAACCAATGGGAAAGCAGGTGCATGTGGCAGCTGTGCAGAAAGGCATGCTGGGACAGAGAAAGGAGCTTTCGGTGCCCTCCTCCTCTGTCACAGGAGCTCCACAGGACACAAAGTACTTCTGAAAAAGCTGTTGAACTGAAGATAGTTTAATGATTGAGAGGAACTTGTGGCTCAGGCCTATTTGTGTTCTAAAGGGAAAAAGATGTTTCCTCTTTGAGAACTTTCAGGCTGTTAACCACTACAATCTTCTCAACAACTGCAAGCAGGCACTGCTGACTACCAGAAGATGGTATCGCGTGGGTGAAATAGCAGCTTATCAGACATCCAGTGGGAGTTTAAGCCTAAGTCATAAAGATTCTTTTAGATAAAGAAAACAAGCAGGTGAGAGCAAAGAAATTTGATGAGCCAGCTAAGTTGACCAGATTTGTCTGGCAACCTTCAAGGAGTAGAAAATGTGAGAACATTTTCACATTTTCCTATTTCCCCCCTTGGTAATTATCTCTGTGGCCAGAGCAGAGTATTATATTTGGGGGTGCACTGTGAAAGTGTTGTGAGGCTGGGCACAGTAGCTCATGCCTGTAATTCTAGCACTTTGGGAGACCGAGGCAGGCAGATCACCTGAGGCCAGGAGTTCAAGACCAACCTGGCCAAAATGGCAAAACCCCATCTCCACTAAAAATACAAAAAAATTAGCAGGGTGTGGTGGTGGGCACCTGAGGCTGAGGGAGGAGAACTGCTTGAACCCAGGAGGCAGAGGCTGCAGTGAGCCGAGATCATGCCATTGCACTCCAGCCTGGGCAATGAGTGAAACTCCGACTCAAAAAAATAAAAAAAGAAAGGGTTATGAAAGATGGATGTGGTCAGAAGGTCATGAGGGTTCCCCAGTGTTCAAATGAGAAGTAAAAAAAACGTGGGGAGAAGCTGTTTGTCCAGCTTTTTTGCTCCTATTCATTTGAAGAAGAGATAACAACTTAACTTTCAGGCTTGCTCTAACTCTAACATATTTCCATCAGTGCTTCTTCCTTGTAAAAAAATATTCTTTATTGTAAAGAAAATTATTTCCTTATTATGAAACATGGAATAAAAATAAAAATATTAGGCTGGGCACGGTGGCTCAAGCCTGTAATCCCAGCACTTTGGGAGGCCAAGACGGGCGGATTACGAGGTCAGGAGATCGAGACCATCCTGGCTAACACAGTGAAACCCTGTCTCTACTAAAAAAATACAAAAAACTTGCCAGGCGAGGTGGCGGGCGACTGTAGTCCCAGCTACTCAGGAGGCTGAGGCAGGAGAATGGCATAAACCCGGGAGGCGGAGCTTGCAGTGAGCTGAGATCCGGCCACTGCACTCCAGCCTGGGCGACAGAGCAAGACTCCGTCTCAAAAAAAAAAAAAAAAAAAAAAAAAAAAAAAAAAATTTAAAAAGAAAGCAAAACCATCTATAAGACCACAACTCAGAGGTGACCAGGATTTGACTTTCCATCCAGGCTCAGGAGAGATGAAGGCCAGGATTCAGTGGCCTCTCTTTTCTCCACCGTGAAGATGTGCCAGGCAGGGCAGGGACTACACTGAACCGTCACCCAGTGCTTCCTGCCTGCTTGGTTCTGTGCTCAGTACTCACATTCACTGAGCACCTCATTCTCCAAGTCATCATTATTGCCCCATTTTACAAGCGAGGAAACTAAGGCACAGGGGTAAGCAATCTGCCAAAGGCACTGCTGCTCAGTGCCAAAGGTGATGGTTCAAATAGTCTGGCTCCAGAGCCTGGGCTCTCTACTGAGCTCTCCTTGGTTATGGAAGCCCCCTTCTATCTCCTAAGCGAAAGGAGTACTCAAGAGCAGCTGACATGCCAGCAGCTTCGCAGGCCAAAGCCTGGCCTGGGCCTGTGGCTGACACCAAGGCTGCACACTGAAATGGGTCCCTCCCCGTGTGGCATTCGCATGGCAGCACCACATGCTGCTCAGCCCCTGCTTCCTCGGAGTCTCTGCAGAACTTCCCCCAGGCCACCAGGCTGCTCAACGTGTCGCCCCACCTGATATCTGGTCTTCTTACCCAAAGGCTTCAAGGCTTCTTTTCGCCCCTGTCCCAACTGTGATTTAGCTATTTCGACCTGAAATTCTCCACCCCTTCAGCTCAGTCCTTTCCCACCTGCCAACTCCTGGAGCTTAGGGTGTCTGTCTCTATTTCCCAAGGAAAAGAGATGATTAGAAAAGCTGGGTCTGAGGAGAGACATGAAATCCATTATTGGAAGGGAGAGCCTCAGGTTCTCCCCTATAAAACAAGGGGTTGTCCTCGCTGTCTCTGGGGTCCCCTGCCACTCTGGCACAGGGCAGTTTCTGTGGTGTCAATCCGGCGCTCATGAGAATGTGCATGCAGCCACCAGGGGGCACAACACACTGAAGAAAAACCGACTTCTGGCCGAGCTGTTCTGGGGCTCAGGGCAGTTCTGGTCAAACTAGCAGGAGACGCTCATCAGAAAGGGGAAACTCCACCCTGGGCCTGCGGCCCCTAAAAAGGCAGAGTGGCCGTTCTGAGTCATTCACCAGCCAACATTGTCTCTGCTGGCCGTGGCTCACCCAGGTCCCCAGTCCTCTTTAGAATGGAACCAACTCTGACACCAGAAAGGGCCAGGCTTTCTGAAGCCCCTCCAGATCAGGCAGGATAAGGATGGCATGGAGAAGGCAGTGACATGCGTCGACTTGGACTTACCATCACTGCTCTCTCTTTTGTGGACTCTGTGAGGGAGAAATTCTGGGTCTGAAGACAGAGCTAGGAAATGTCAGTTAAATAATTCATCAGTTAGGCAACTTTGGGATTATCAACTAAAATGAGTTTCTGACATTTGTGGTTCATGGCATAGGTCAGCAAACTGGCCACCCCTCAGGCCAAATCTGGACTGGCGCCTGTTCTCGTAAACACTGGAACACAGCTATGCCTACTTGTTCGCCTACTAAGGCGCCTTTTTTTTTTTTTTTTTTTTTTTTTAAGTAAAGGAATAAAGAATGGCTACTCCATGGGCAGAGCAGCCTAAGGCTTCTTCTGTACTACAACAGTAGAGGGGTACTTGTGACAGAGACTTTGCAGCCCTTGACAGAAAGAGTTGTGCAACCCGTGGTTTACAGGCACAGCTCATTAAGAAAAGTCTTACTATTTATTATAATAAATGAACCGGTACTGGCTAAGTAAAACCCACACATTCAGTGTTCCTTTTACTCTACTAACACACACACACAGGCAGGACAAGAGGTGCGATTCCGTGGAGTATGACCAGGGCAGCAGCATCCACTGTGACATCTGGCAAATGGCCCTGTTGCACCAGGGCAAAGGTGATTTGCTGAAAGCAAAGGATTCTAATGGTCCTTGACAATTTGACCATCACAAGTTTCGACTCTGCAGACCGCTTTGAGGGGCAGAACATGCTGGCAGACAGAATCCATAAGTATCTTTTATCATTACATGCATGGGGTCTGGGCAGCTGAACGGGGTTCAGACATGTGGACATCTTACTTTGAAGCGCATTCCTTTCCGTTGGCCTTTGTCCAGTTTTGGCTTTTCCACATAGAGAGGGTTTTTGAGCAATGTCTGGGCTTTGGGTTCAAACTGCACCGACCAATCCCACACGGTGAGCAGATTCAAAGGCTTGCTTTGTGTATCCTGGCCTTCTCTACCCTGCCAAAACAAGCACAGGTCACGCTGTCTTCCAGGGAGGGCTGAGGAAGGCAAACACATACTTCTGGACACAGGCACCAGGAAGTGTGCTCCTGCCCTGCCCTGAGAATGAAGAATCGGGGGCACTTCATTTTTACAGGCTGAGACTACCTGTGGTTATTCGCTACAAGCTTTTGGTGGGGGAGGAGTGCAAGAACAAGGACACTTCCTTTCCAGCAGTCTACACACCAGCCGCTGTGCTGGGTGCTTCCACAGCCTCGCGAGGTAACTGGTGCTTTTCCAATTTTACATTTGAGGAAACCAAGGCTCAGAAAACTGAACTGCCCAAGGTCATGGAGCTGATGAGTCACAAGGCTGGGCTCTGAAACCAGGGCTGTTGCTCCTACTTCACTGGGGGATTTGGTAATCCTCCCAGCTCAAGGAAACCCTGTACCCCTCAGGAGGCTGCTCAGAAGCACTGAGATTATCTAACTGGGGGCACAGCCCAGGAGGGGCCAAAAGGGTTAAGATGGAAGGAAAAGCCTAGCTTCCCTGCTCTGCTGGTCCCCATTCTTTTTACAGAGGAATTCCAGGCATCAGGCAAACAGATGGGAGGACATCTGGTCTGACTGTCTTTAAAACAGACAGCTTTGAATTTTGCTTAATTCCCCAGCTTCAACACTTGCTTCTAGCTCCAATATTTACCATGTGACCACAGGTGAGTTACTTATCCTTTTTTTGCCTCAGCTTCCTCCAGGATAATAAAAATGCATATACCATAGGGTGCTGTAAGGATTAATACCTAAGAAAGTCTTAGAACAATGCTTGGTATATAGTGTTCAGTATCTTTTTTTTTTGAGACGGAGTCTTGCTCTGCCGCCCAGGCTGCAGTGCAGTGGCCGGATCTCAGCTCACTGCAAGCTCCGCCTCCCAGGTTCACGCCATTCTCCTGCCTCAGCCTCCCGAGTAGCTGGGACTATAGGCGCTTGCCACCTTGCCTGGCTAGTTTTTTGTATTTTTTTAGTAGAGACAGGGTTTCACCGTGTTTGCCAGGATGGTCTCAATCTCCTGACCTCGTGATCCGCCCATCTCAGCCTCCCAAAGTGCTGGGATTACAGGCTTGAGCCGCCGCACCTGGCCCAATATCTTTTTTAAAATATGGAATGTCTCATGAGTTTGCATGCCATCCTCTCGCAGGGGCCATGCTAATCTTCTCTGTATCATTCCAGCTTCCTTTAGTGTATGTGCTGTCAAGTGAAGACCACTTTTAGCATCAGTATTACTGCATCCTACTTGTGAGAGGAAGCCTCTTTAATACACAGGTTCCTAAGAGGGACTCTTACCATGTTAGTATCTTTTTGATGAGGTGAATTGAAGAAGAAGGTGCTAAAAATAGGTATGTACAGGCTATCTGACAAAACAGTCAGGTAAGTCTCTGTGAATTCAAATGCCGGGGGATGCTGGTGCACCAGCTGCCAGACACAATCTAGGAAAAGCAGGAACACAGGAACCTGCATGAAAACAAGATACGTTACTTGGTGGGCAGAGCCCAGTGCAAGCCATCCTGAGTTCAGGGGACAGCACCTCAACAGCTGTGGAATAAGCACTTCTGGGGACTTCATTCTCTGGGAAACACAGAATACTCCATTCCATCCCAAGTGAGAAATATGCTCAACTGAAATCACATGCTTGCGATTTATATACCTGTGTCAAAGACATTTCAAAGATGAAATGTGTAAAAACCTCATTATGGATCAGTGTTACAGACGAGCATCTGCAATGGATTCTGATAATAGAAAACACTAACTTAGAACCTCAATTAAGCAAAATGTTATCTCCTCCAAAAAAATTCCATTCTTCCACTAGTAATACCATATTACCAAAAAATGTACTTAATTATGAGTGCTACTTTGAATTTTGTCAATACAAAGTTACGGGGGGTGGGAGGGAACTTCCATTCCGCACCTCCCACACACTGACTGACAGGGTTTGATTCTGAAGACCAACCTGGAAGGAGAAGCCTCCTGCCCACCCCACAGTGAGGGCCCGAAAGACAACGGGGATGGGAGACAAGGGAGAAGCAGTGAAAGTGAGTTTCAAAATGTTTTCAAAATGTATCTTTACAAATCCACAAGCATCATTTATTAGCTCCCAGAGGTAAGCCCTTGATGAGCAGGGAGAGTAGTTTCTAGTAGGCTTTATCATTTAGAAAGCGCTTATCCTCCCGGATTCACCAGTGATCCTGCCAGGGGGCTAAGACAAGCTATATTACAGTTTCTCCCTTTCAGAGGAGAAAATGGAAGATTGGAGATGCCCAGAGGCCGGCCCCCAGGGTCTCACACAGGGCTCATGAGAGAGAGAGATGCGTGGGAATGCAGCTCTTAAAGCGCAGTGCCGCTTCAATCTTATCACAAATTTGACCACCCAATTTTCCTTCAAAATTCCAATATGTCCACATTGAGATGCTAAGAAACATTTGTACAGCAACTTTATTTCACACCTCATTTTATGCACAATATCATTAAACAGAGTGGAAAATATTTGAACTGCACTGTATAGGCAGGGCAATAGGCTCAGAAAATACGGGTGACCTCTCCAAGGGCTGGGTGAACAGCAGATCAGGTCTCTTCTTAGACTCTTTCCCCATTAGACATGGTGCCTACCAGTCCCCCCTTTTCTCAAGATATACAAAAACATATGGCTAGGTGCTGTGGCTCATGCCTGTATTTCCAGCACTTTGGGAGGCTGAGGCAGATGGATCGCCTGAGCCCGGGAGTTTGAGACCAACCTTGGCAACATGGCAAAACCCATCTCTACAAAAATACAAAAATTAGCTAGACATGGTAGTGCACGCCTATAGTCCCAGCTACTCAGGAGGCTGAGGCAGGAGGATTGCTTGAGCCCAGGGGGTCGAAACTGCAGTAAGCTATGACTGTGCAACTGTATTCCAGACTGGGCAACAGAGAGAGACCATGTCTCAAAACCAAAACAAGGCCGGGCACTGTGGCTCACGCCTGTAATCCCAACACTTTGGGAGGCTGAAGTGGGTGGATCACCTGAGGTCCGGAGTTTGATATTAGCCTGACCAACATGGTGAAACCCCGTCTCTAATGAAAATACAAAATTAGCCGGGAATGGAGGGGCATGCCTATAATCCCAGCTACTTAAAAAGGCCAAGGTAGGAGAATCACTAGAACCCGGGAGGAGGAGGTTGCAGTGAGCCAAGATCGTGCCATTGCACTCCAGCCTGGCCAACAAGAGTGAAACTCCTTCTCTAAAAAAAAAAAAAAAAAAAAAAAAGAAAAAGAAAAAAAACAACCATACTTATCTCCACAAAGTATCAGTTCTTTCTGCCTACCCTGTTATGTAAATGCTGTCACCCTTTCAAATTAATTCCTTAAAGTCCCTTCCAGGACTGAAAGATGTGATTTCTATTCAGCTCAATGGGACACAGATGAGTACAGGCCAGGCCTGAAAGAAACCATCTTGCTCAGTGAGAGAGACCTGGATCACCCCAGGAACCTGCCAAGCCCTTATGATCAGGAGCCATGGCTCTGTGTACCCACAGCATTCTGTGTTAAGCTGTTCCGCACCACAGACAGACATGCTGACTACCAGGAGTATGAAAAACCACAAGTCACACTGCTAGCACACGTCAGCTCTGCAGATGAGTTGATTAAAGAAAGTTTGTGTGTTTTCATTTTTCCTTTCACCAATCATCAATAAGGCAGCCAATGGAGTGTGTACAGCTGTCACCTAGACATGTACACCACAATTTGGGGGACTCATTTTCACCAAATGACCTAAAATGCTAACTCTCCTGTGCCTGAATTTGGAGGCCCAGGCCTGGAGCAATTAATCCAGACACAAGCAGAAGAGGCTGTGGGCACAGTCCCACCCAGGCTACCACTAAGGCCCTGGTAACAGATGGCATTAACATAATCCTGTGCTTTATTTCATTTTTTTTTTTTTGAGACGGAGTCTCACTCTGTCACCCAGGCTGGAATGCAGTAGCACGATCTCGGCTCACTGCAACCTCTGCCTACTGGGTTCAAGTGATTCTCCTGCCTCAGCCTCCCAAGTAGCTGGGACTATAGGCATGTGCCACCATGCCCAGCTAATTTTTTGTATTTTTAGTAGACACGGGGTTTCACCATGTTAGCCAAGATGGTCTCTACCTCCTGACCTTGTGATCTGCCTGCCTTGGCCTCCCAAAGTGCTGGGATTACAGGTATGAGCCACCGTGCCTGGCCCTGTGCTTTATTTCAAAAAGGTTTGTGTGTAAGGAAAATTGACTCTGAATGGCTGGGCGCGGTGGCTCACGCCTGTAATCCCAGCACTTTGGGAGGCTGAGGCAGGTGGGTCACTTGAGGTCAGGAGTTCAAGACCAGCCTGGCCAACATGGTGATATCCCATCTCTACTAAAAATACAAAAAATTAGCTGGGCATGGTGGCACACACCTGTAATGCCAATTACTCAGGAGGCTGAGGCAGGAGATAAGCTTAAACCCAGGAGGCGGAGGCTGCAGTGAGCTGAGACTGCACCACTGCACTCTAGCCTATGCAACAGAGCAAGACTCTGTCTCAAAAAAAAAAAAAAAAAATTTGACTCTGAAAATCTGAAATCATTCAGTTCCAAAATCTAAAACTTTATTTATTTTGAGATAGGGTCTCACTGTCACTCAGGCTGGAGTACAGTGGCACAATCATGGCTCACTGCAGCTTTGACCTCCCGGGCTCAAGCAATCCTCTCACCTCACCCTCCCTAGTAGCTGGGGCTGTAGTCAGGCACCACCATGCCCAGTTTATTTTATTTTATTTTATTTTTATTTTTGGTAGAGATGAGGTTGCCCAGGCTGGTTTCAAACTCCTGTTCTCCCAAAGTGCTGGGATTACAGGCGCAAATCATCATGCCTGGCCTCCAATTTTCGGATTAAGGATGCTCAACCAGTGATTGAGTGGAGTGCAATTATTCCAAAATCCAAAGCAATTTGAAATCTGAAACACGTCTGGTACCATGACTTTCAGATAAGGGATGTTCAACCTCTATTTTTTGTAGAAAACCTGCACCCTGCATATCTATTTATTGCAAAGACTAATTTTATAGAAAAGGTAGGAGTCTCCCTCACTGAGTTACTCTATATTTAAGTCTCATTAATAAATATTATTCCCACTATGAAATATGTATACACCCTTGGTGTACACAATTTAGAAAACTCTGAACATACCTGTTAATCTCTTTCCTCTGGGAAAAGTTTCACTATTATTTAAAGTATCCAAAGTCATCATACAATGAAATGATCCTAGTTTTCTTAACAAACCTGTTTGGCTTACACTTTGCAAGCAGCAACCCTACATCTGATGACAGGTATTAAATAAGAGATTCACTAGTTCTCCCCATGACGGAAACAGTCTGCAGTGAGGGAACTCACCTCCTCTTTGTCGTTCTGGCGGAGATGGTTGCAGCGATCCAAGAAACAGTGGCCACCCATGACCCACTCCTTTTGGATCAGGCTCTGGAAACCAATTCTGGTTCGGCAGTGGGGGTCCATCATCAGTTGCACCAGAGAGGAAATGAGACAGCAGAGGTCGGATGCATTCTCCTCTAGGAGAGGCCCCAGTAGCAGTGCAAGGAGGAAGGAGGGCATAAAATGTTAAAAAGTTTCAGAATGCTCTCGCTTAAACAGTTAAAAGTAGGATTCCCAACACCAAGGTCTACTATTAATGGTCATGCTCTTATTCCCTAAAGGCAAGGGCCAATAACAAAGGGTTATGTTTTCAGACTGAGAGATGAACTGCTCTAGCATGTCTAGTACAGGTTCTGGCACACGCTGGTACTAAATATGGATTTGCATACTGAATAAATAAATGCAGCATTACAAAGCTACTTCAGCATGTGGGGCTCTAGGTGTGCCACACAGAGACAATAGAATCGCCCACATCACGATGACCTGCCAGGCTCCGCAGGCCAAGACTAAAGCTCTTCCCTCCTGGGGTGTGGAAGCCTCTATCACTGAACTCCTTCTGGGGTGTGGAAGCATTCATCACCGAACTCACTGTTTCACGGCTCAGCTGCTTATCAAATTCACCTCAGACATCCCTTCCTCCACTCCTAAGTCCTCCACTAACTCCACTTTGGAGAAAGTTTAATATTTCTTGACTGTAGCAAAATTATTTCTATTTTCAGCTCTAAGGCTCTGTCCTTTTCTGTTTGAGGAACACAGAGGTGCCTGCTTCTCCTGCCTAGCCTAGGAGACAAACCCTTCTTGGTCTACTTGCACATGCCCACCTGCTGCACTTTCCAAAACTCATTTGATGAAAAGTTCACTCACATACTTGTTTAACATTCATCACTCAGAGCAAAAAACCACACATCTTTATCCGTGCATTTGTCTTAGAGTTTTAAGATCCTAAAAGTCAGGGTCTACAGCTCCATAGTTTCCCTTTCACAAAAACAGGTGCAACTCAAGTTGTTTTTAAAAAATGTCCATGAGGAGGATGGTGCTAGTATCACTGGCGTTAGAGAAACTTAAGACTGAACTGTAGGCTGGGCGCGGTGGCTCACGCCTGTAATCCCAGCACTTTGGTAGGCCGAGGCAGGTGGATCACTATGTCAGGAGTTCAAGACCAGTCTGACCAACATGGTGAAACCCCTTCTCTACTAAAAATACAAAAATTAGCCGGGTGTGGTGGTGCACACCTGTAATCCCAGCTACTCAGGAGGCTGAGGCAGGAAAATCGCTTGAACCTGGGAGGCAGAGGTTGCAGTGAGTCGAGATCGAGCCATTGCAGTCCAGCCTGGGCGACAGAGCAGAGACTCTGTCTTAAAAAAAAAAAAAAAAAAAAAAGAATTGTAACTAGGGAGGTGCTCATACTGTGACAACTCTTTCATCTTGACCGCTATAATCACAGAGCACTATGGGTCCAAGCTTACACTTCTCCCTCCAGGAAACAAGCCTCAACTATGGGATGACATGGGTTACAAAGAAACAAATTTTTGTTTTTGTCTTCTAGTGCTACCGGTTTTCAAAACAAGTTTCTTTTCTTTGGAGACAGAGTCTCACTCTGTCACTCAGGCTGGAGTGCAGCAGCACAATCTCAGCTCACTGCAACCTCTGTCTCCCAGATTAAAGCAATTCTTGTGCCTCAGCCTCCCGAGTAGCCAGGACTACAGGCACACAGCACCATGCCCGGCTAATTTTTGTATTATTAGTAGAGCCAGGGTTTCATCATGTTGGCCAAGCTGGTCTCCAACTCCTGACCCCGAGTGATCTGCCTTCCTTGGCCTCCCGAAATTCTGCGATTATAGGTGTGAGCCACCGTGTCCAGCCACAAGTTTCATTTTTAAGGAACTCTTTCTTCTTGGATCTGAAGGGTGTTAATGATACTCCTGTGGGTAATGGAATGAGGGACTAAAAGAGATTTCAGAGGTGAGACAATTCAGCAGTCCATCCAGGAGTGAAGGAAGTCTCAGTTCCATCAGTCAAAGATTCAGATTTCACTTTATGCAGCTCTGTGATTAATGTGTTCTGGCCCTGAATCCTTCCATTTCTTAGACCTCCAATCTTTATCCCTCCTCCTTTTCACTAGTTGCTCAGTACTCAAATAATGCTCTGTTCTGTCACGGCTGGTTGGGCCTTTTTCAATAGCACACTTAAGGCAACTCTCTCATTAGGTTGCAAACTTCTAGAAGGCAGAACAGAGCCCTGCACATGGCAGGGGCTCAATAAATGTATTCAAATCTAAGTCGGTCAGCCAATGTCAGACGGACAGAGCCACAGAAAGACACATTTTCCAGGCTGCCCTTAGAACCTAGGGCCAACAGTTACAGAGAGTTTCAGAGAATGATAAAAGCTTGGGGGTATAAGCATGAGACAATCTACTTAATTTATAGTGTGGGGCTATACGAAACTTAATATTTCTAAACAGCAGGTAATGTTTGAGTTCATGTGTGACTAGTTACAGCACCAGTCTTCGCTGCATGGTGGTTTACACTTGCTTTCGCACATTCTGAATGTCTGCATCATGTACAGCAAGTTAAGCCCACTGAGGAAAAGGAACTCACAGGCCACCAAGTTTCTATGGTAACTGTATAAAGTTGTCAACCACAAAGATATAAAAATAACAACCAAGTCATCCATGGATCTCTTTATATAAGAAGGATTCTAAAAAGATTTTAACTTTAACCAAGCTCAGTTAATATAAAACAAAATCCAAAACATTAAGAAATGTGAGCTTTGGTAAAGATACCAAAAAATTCCTTCATGGATGGTGAATAGGTCTGCCAAGTTCGAAGTGAAAGAATTTTGTTTTAAACTCTTAACACTGAAATCCAAGGCAAAGGATTCCAAGGTTAGGGAGAAAGGAATAGGAAGGATTTCTACACTAACTCACTCCTTTTGTTTCCAAATACACAAAGCTATATATATAAAAATTGAATCTCAAGTGAAGGAAAATGGAAATCATCCTTTGTGTTTCCTATATATTACCTAAAAGAAGAACATTCATGTTTTGTGCTTCCATACATTCTGTAATCTCTATTGCTTTTTTCAGGCAACGTCTAAATAGGAAAGAGACAAGAAAAAGGGGAATTAGTTCATGAGCTTGGTAACAAAAACATTAAGTAGTTTAGAGATAGTCTGACTTGATCTTCAGTCTTCTCTCTTATTTTTTTTTCCATGCTAAAATCCTCCAGAAAAGAAACTAACTTCCATTTACATTATTTAGATACCAGGATATATTCCTGCCCATTAGAAACTGAAAATTTTCAGAAGGGAATCCTAAAATTGATGTGAAAATGCTCCTAGGTAATTTCTAAACTAGACATTCTTATTAAAAACTCATGCTTGAGTCTGCTGCTGAGCAAGATTCATTAAAATCAAACATACCTGGAGAATGCGAGACATGTCCAGATTACTTTACTTAAGGTGACCTGCTGAATGTATCAGAGTGGCTAAAAAGCTCCAATATGCTCAGAAATCCTTTTTGTCTCTCTCTACACATTATTCCCTTTGCAACTGTTGCCATTATTCCCAGCTTGGACTTGTATAACTGGGGGCCTTCACATATGTTGTCTTCTGTTTGCAGAGGTGTCCTCTCCTACCCCCCAGCCACCCTCCCTTCCCACACCCCGACCCTTCATCTGGCTAGAGATGCTCACCCTTCTCTGCCCACTCCACACAAAGAAGGGTTATTTGCTTTTATAACATTTATCCCTGTCTCCCATTATATATTCAAATTATGAGATGTGTAGCAGGATGTCTGAAGCACAGTTCAGTGTCTGGAGGGCCAAGGCTCCTTTCCACAGTACTCACTTCAGAATGCAGGGAGAATGTGTGTGAGGCAGCAGGAAGCACTGCTCTCCCTCCTGAAATGTAGCCTAGCATTAGACCTACTCTCACCCCGATCATCATTTCTGTTTTGCACCTTTCTCTGCCATATCCTCTATTTAATGGCAACAGAGAAGAGCTATTCGATATAGAAAGTAGGAAAGGCAATATAACTGTTCTCTGGAACTCTCAACCTAACTCCCAAACCATGAATAACTGACATTAATCATGGTTTTTAAAAACACAGATAATATATGCATAAGATACAATATTAAAAGAGGTATTCAGTGAGAAGTCAGTATCACTCCTGTTCTCACCCTCAATTTCCTCCCTGGAGGCCAGCACTGCTGCCTCAATAATAATTCTGGGTTGTCACACTCTTTCTGTGGTTTTTCAATGCCTTGTCTGTAGAGTACACCTCCTTGTAAGCAGGTGGCATGTTCATAAATTCCTATCAAATGTGCACAGAAATAAGTAGCAAATATAAAATCTAGCTGTAGAACGTGTGATCTAAGAATATTTAACTTTGAAATACCAAACAGTTAAATTATTTGTCACTTTGATCTACTACCCTGAGTTAGACAATTATAAAATTCAAGAGTAAAACAATGGTTTGAAATACCTGATTATGTCAAGCCAGCTGCTACTTTCCAACAGAGAAAACCATTTTATATCTGTGTCCCAAAATTCAGTACTGTTATCTGAAAAAAGAAAAAGGAGTAAAGACATCAGGTCATTGTTTACTGACATACTTGCCACAAAAATCCTGTGCTCCTCAACTGTGTCATTCAGATTAACAGTTCTGACTCAAACTGCAGAATCCAGGCACAGGACTCTGTTACGAGTAAGGGTCATTTCAAAACTTCAGCTGAAACGGTTTCTGAGCTGTAGGGCCCTAGAAGGTTTTGCTGGTCAAAAAGAGATCTTTATTGCTGAAATAAGAAATTCCTACAATGCATACACAAAGCCATGGTTCATCCTGTAAGTCGACAGAGAGTAATATGCTTTAGGCAGAAATAGTTGACATCTAGGCTGTTAATTCTAGAAGTGGAAAATGCAACTGCATGCATCCTGATGCCACAGAAGCCTAAGGGTCAGACTTGACTTTCATTAGAATCTCAATGCACAAGTTCATGCACCCAGCATACCATGACATGACTCCCCCTATATGCCTTATAAAACAGAGAACCTTAAATCTTACAGAAATCCAATATATTTAAAAGTTGCAAACTCAGGTTGGGTGCTGTGGCTTATGCCTATAATCCCAGAACTATAATCCCAGAAGCAGGAAGATCACTTGAGGCCAGGAGTTTGAGGCTGCAGTGAGCTATGATGGCGCCACTGCACCCCAGCCTTGGCAACAGAGTGAGACCCTGTTTCTAAAAAATGAAAAAAAAAAAAAAAAAAGGCTAGGCACAGTTGCTCATGCCTATAATCCCTACACTTTGGGAGGCCGAGGCGGGTGGATCACCCGAGGTCAGAAGTTCGAGACCAGCCTGACCAATATGGACAAACCCCGTCTCTACTAAAATACAAAAAAAATTAGCTGGGGGTGCTGGCGCATGCCTGTAATCCCAGCTACTTGGGAGGCTGAGGCAGGAGAATCACCCCTCCGGGGTGGCGGAGGTTGCGGTGAGCTGAGATCACACCATTGCGCTCCAGACGGGGCAACAAGAGCGAAACTCCGTCTCAAAAAAAAAAAAAAAAAGAAGAAAAAAGTTCCAAACTCAAATCAATAAAAGACAGATATCCCTGAAAGTCCTGAGTGATTGAAATAAAACTAGAATGAATGTCCTTGATTAAATAGTAAACATGTATTGCAATGTTTTAGTTTGAGTTAGAGTCATACATTGCTGTTTCCCTTGCAAGAGTGTAAGTTCCTGGTGTTATATTTCTCTTTATCACTAACACCTAGCATAGTTAGCATATACAAGGGGACTTCAAAAGTATGTGAAAACATGGAATTAAAAAATGAAAATAAAAAATATAAACTTTATTTCTCAACATAAGCTCCATCAAGTTTAAGACACTCTCATAAGAGATGATACCAGCCATTTAGTTCACCCCTAAAGAACTAAGGGTCCTGGGAATTTAACCATGTTATTGTAGTCTATTTTACATTATTAACTAAAAAAAAAAAACTGGTTCCCTTTAAGGATTTTTTTTTTTTTTTTTTTTTTGAGATGGAGTTTTGCTCTTATCACCCAGGCTGGAGTGCAATGACACAATCTTGGCTCACTGCAACCTCTGTCTCCCGGGTTCAAGCGATTCTTCTGTCTCAGCCTCCCGAGTAGCTGGGATTGCAGGCGCCCGCCACCGTGCCTGGCTAATTTTTGTATTTTTAGTAGAGATGGGGTTTCACCATGTTGGCTAAGCTGGTCTCGAACTCCTGACCTCTGGTGATCCGTCCACCTTGGCCTCCCAAAGTGCTGCAATTATACACGTGAGCTACTACGCCCAGCCCCCTTTAAGGATTTTTTAAGATTAGAAAATGAAGTCAGAAGGAGCCAAATCAGACTTTTAAGGTAGATCCCTAATGAATTCCCATCAAAACTCTTGCAAAATTGCCCTTGTTTGATAGGAGGAATGAGCAGTACACAAGGACCCTCTGACAAAGTTTTCCCGGGCATTTTTCTACTAAAGCTTTGGCCAACTTTCTTAAAACATTCTTATGGCTGGGCACGGTGGCTCATGCCTATAATCCCAGCACTTTGGGAGGCCGAGGAAGGCAGGTCACTTGAGGTAAGGAGTTTAAGACCAGTCTGGACAACATGGTGAAACCCTGCCTCTACTAAAAATACAAATATTATCTGGGCGTGGTGGTGCACCCCTGTAATTACACCTACTCAGGAGGCTGAGGCATAAGAATCACTTGAACCCAGGAGGCAGAGGTTGCAGTGAGCCAAGATCACACCACTGCACTCCAGCCTGGGCGACAGAGTGAGAATCTGTCTCGAAAAAAACAAAAACCTCTCCTAATAAGCAGAGAGGTTTGGTCAGAAAGTCAACAAGCAAAATGGCTGGAGCATCACAAAAAACTGTTGCCATGACCTTTGCTCTTGACCCATCTGCTTTTGCCCTGGCTGGACCACTTCCACCTCTCAGTAGCCATTGCTACTTTGTCTTCAGGATCGTACTGGTAAAGCCATGTTTCTTCTTCTGTTAACAATTCTTCAAAGAAATGCTTCAGGATTTTGATCCCACTTGTTTAAAATTTCTGTTGAAAGCTCTGCTCTCATCTGAATCTAATCTGGGCACAATGGTTTTGGCACCTACTGAGTAGAAGGTTTTTTTGTTTGTTTGTTTGTTTGAGATGGAGTCTTGCCCTGTCACCCAGGCTGGAGAGCAGTAGCATGATCTTGGCTCACTGCAACCTCTGCCTCCTGGGTTCATTTTCCTGCCTCAGCCCCTCCAAGTAGCTGGGATTACAGGCACCTGCCAGTACACCCGGCTACTTTTTGTATTTTTAGCAGAGATGGGGTTTCGTCATGTTGGCCAGGCTGGTCTCAGACTCCTGAACTCAAGTGATCCGCCCGTCTCAGCCTCCCAAAGTGCTGGATTACAGGCATCAGCCACTGCACCCAGTGAGTAGGTTTGATCAACTTTAACTTTTCAGTCAGAATTGTGTAAGCTGAACCAATTGAGATGTCTATGGAATTGACTATTGTTTCTTCTACTGTTGGTCCTCTTCAATTAGGGCAGAAACAAGATTAATTTTTTCCTTGCAAATTGATGTGGACAGTTTGCCGCTGCAGGCTTCATCTTCAACATTATCTGCTCCTTCTTAAAAATGAGTTGTCCATTTGTAAACTGCTGATTTCTTTGGGGCATTGTCTCCGTAAACTTTCCGTAAAGCATCAATAATTCTATCATTCTTCCACCCAAGCTTCACCATAAATTCAATATTTGTTTTTGCTTCAATTTCAGCAGAATTCATGTTGCTCTAATAGGGGCTGTTTTCAAACTAATTTCTTACCCTTCTTAGCTCCTCAGACCAGATCCTGCTCAGGCATATTATAATAAGTTAGTAGAGTTATTTTGGGGTAAAAAAAGTTTGGGAATTCATGCATAGTTTTTTCATAATATACATTTTCCATGAACTTTTTGAATACCCCTTGTTTAATGGAAACTCAAAACATGTCACGGAATGAATCCCAAAATATTTGTTAAGCATTTGCTAGGCTAAAAAGTCCAAGTTAGTCCAGGCAGTGGCTCATGCCTATAATCCCAGCACTTTGCGAGGCCAAACTGGAGGATCGCTTGAGCCCCGGAGTTCAATGTCAGTCTGGGCAACATTATGGGACTCTGTCTCTACAAAAAATACAAAAATTAGCCAGGTGAGGAGGCGTGTGCCTGTAATCCCATCTACTTGGGAGGTAGAGGTGGGAGGATCACTTGAGCCTGGGAGTTTTAAGGTTGCAGTGAGCTGTGATCATGCCACTGCACTCCAGTCTGGATGACAGAGGTGAGACCCTGTCTCAAAAAAAAAAAAAGAAAAAAAAAATGTCCAAGTTAGGAAAAGTTACCTATAGGCATGACAAATCTCAGAGCGTAAAGTCTCATTTTAGAATGAAGAGAATCAATGAGTGACTGAGCAGTGTTAAATATGAGGCACCAGTAGGCAGCCTGGGCAGGAAAATGGGGGTAGCTGGGATGGGCATATTTCATTTTCTATTTTGTACATTTCTGATAAAACTTTTAATATTGTTAGAAACTGTATATTCCCAATCAGGGGAAAAAATTAAAGTATTTCCACTTTGGGAAAAAGTCTACACAGGAAAATGAACATTATTCACTTTATAAATCACTGCAAGTCAACAAATATAAATGCTACATAGATAAAAAACTTTTAAAGGAAGAAACCAAAATGCTCACCACTGGGCAACTGGTATGCTGAGGAAGGGGAGAAGAGGAGGGTGGCCGTGTTATCACTGCCACAATAAGGAGGCAGTGGGGGAAAGCCTGGAGAGAGATGAGGAGGGAAGCGTGGTAATGGCAGCCAGACCCCGGGCTCCATGACATCACAGCCCTGGCCTCTGCATACTACCTTAAAGAACCCAGGGAAAAGGCACCAACTTTCACCTGATCTGCCTGGCATGTCTTTCCCCATATGACACAAAAGTTTTTGCTCAGTATTCTTCTCACCTATCAGAAATAGCTGTTTAAATTTAGAGTATGCAGTCTGGATTTCCTGCAGGGATAGGAAGTTGCTTGACAGGTCTTCCGTTTTAACAATTTCATAGGGTGGCCTGTGGATGGTCTTGTAAACTCTAGGTATCAAAAAGGAATATGAGATTAGAAGAGCAAACACAAATTTTGCCTAAGGATTTACTATGTGCCACAATCTGTGTTAAGGGCTCAGTAGGCATTCTCCCATTTAATCTTCACCTACCAGGCAACTGCTGCGGGACTCCTGTTCCTAGTCAATGGGTGTGGAAATGGAGGTGCATAGAGTAAAACTGCCTGGCCCAAGATTATCCAATTTATAAACTGATAAAGCCATGATCTGGACCAAGGCAATGTAACTCTGAGTCTATTCCTTCTTTTTTTTTTTTTAATTCATCTACTTTGGGTTTTTTGGTTTTTTTGTTTTTAATTTGAAACATGCAGAAAGTAGAATAGTATAGAGACATGTACCATGACCTAAATTTGACAATTGTTAACATTACAGACATCATGTCACCTCCCTGCTGAAGACTTTAGTGTGCACCTCTAAAAACAACGCAGGTGACATTCTTAACTATTATGTTATACTGACTCCTTTCAAATTAACTCAAAACGATCACTATAGGTTGTATTCCCCTAGCACTAAGCTACCAGCAGGTAAACAGAAACAGACATACTACTATGAACTGTTCCCTGCTTCTTGGAAAACAAGAACTGAACAAGAACAAAATGTAGAACGAGTACTGACCCATCTAAGAAGCTCTTTTGGATTTGTAAAATGCCATCATCCTGTTCTTTGGGCAGTGCTGACATTTTCAAAAGGGCACTTCCATTGTGGCAGGACCAACACCATATCTGTAGAAACAAATAAAGATTTACCAGATATAATAAACACAACTTAAGCTTAACATTTAAATGCATACGTGGAAATTTGTAACTTCAGTATGAAATGGCTGGACATACTCAACTTTATTAAGCCTGGGAGTATTTAATCACAACGAAAAAGAATGATTTAGTTTTAAAAAATAAACAGGTCTAGGTAGTCAGACACAGACTTATGGTCTAACAAATACCTTTTGACTTATCATCAGCTGGTAACCCAGATGATGACAACAACAACATTATTATTATTAGGATAGTAGCTATCATTCAAGTGCAGCTTATTACATGTCAGGTATGTTACATGAATTAACTCATTTAATTGTTATAGTAACTCTCCGTGATAGGTATAATTATTTATCCCCCTTAATAGCAAGAAACTGAGGCTTGGAGAGATGGAAGGACTTTCCCAAGTTGTACAGAAAGTAGCCACAGTGTGACTCTAAAGGTTGTGTTGTATACGAATGGCAAAAAGGGGGCAACTCTCATTAGAGAAAATCCACACGAGGAAGAATGGAATGTTGGCTATTTGACATAACTGAATTCAAGACTTGCGACATGCAAGGCACTACATTAGGTTGCGAGAGGGCACAAAGATACTAAGATACTGTGTCTTCCTTCAGAGCTTAGTTTCAAAAGGGAAATAAGCTTAGGAATAAAAAAGAAGGTAGAATGTATTATATAACAGAAGAAAGAAGTTTCAAGGAACACCACAAACAAGGCAAGGAGAAAGAAGTCACATGAGTGACCAACAGTGGCAGGCGAGGCCATTTAGGCTTTCTTCTGCTTTGGCAACAGGTTAAGGTGCTCAGGCTTTTTTCAGGATACAGTGGGGGGGTTTGTTTGTTTGTTTTTCAGGAACAAAAGGAGATTAGAACAGATCTTGGGGCAAAGTAATCTGCCAGTGGAGCCTAGATTGGAGAAGCCAGACAGACTGGTTGGACAGGTGAGTACAGTTGTGGACTTTGAGTCCTGCTTAAAGGCCCGGCTAAGTGCTTGAGGGTGGCTAAGGTCCAGCCCTTGCTTTGCTGACCAAGCCACTGGCCTGGGCTCAAAGGTAAACCTGGAGGAAAGAAAGACATTTTATAATTCAGCTGCCCAAAGGCGACACCTTTTTGCCATTTATCTGCCAGGTATAAACCATGCATTGGATATGCTAGCAGTGGCCTAGACCAAGAGTTAGAGATCAGCAAAACAATCCAGGTGATATTGTGCACTACACTTAGAAAATCACAAAGGGAAACTGGTTTGGGATTTCTGGGGAAGGTGATGGAATCAGCACATATTGGGTGTCTAGTACCAACAGGACCTCCATGTGTAGATATTCAGGAGGCCCCTAAAATGAGAGGAAAACAGGCCTAGAGCTCTAGACATGGGAGCTGATGGCCTGCTGCAGTGGGGGTGATGATGAGCCCACCCAGAGAGCAAGGACAGAGCGACACAGAACTGCTTTAGGAACTACTGAAGACAGCAACAACTCCCCTCTTGGGTCCAAGCCATACTTGAAGATTCATGATGAGGCAGAAGTGTTAGAACACTAAGATAATCAAAGGGCCCTTTGCTGCTCTTGTATTCCCTTTCTCAATGCCACGCTAAGTGATATGCAGAAACCAACACACAGTTTTCAGCTCTCTGCCTAAGGTGGTGAAATTTTGGTGCCCAGGCAATTGTGCCCCCTTAGTTGGCGCAGCTCACTTGGATAAAGGGGGAGATACTCTTAGCCATGACTGGATGGTGAGTCCTAAGAAACTAAGTGTTCTTAACCCTTTTTATCTCCTTTTCTGGAGCGGAAGGGGCAGAAAGCATAGTCCCTTGGTGATATCCAACTATAACTCATTTTCCATCTGGGGCACATGTAATAACTTCCAATCATAACTGTCTCATCTCATCTGAGGCATGAAGGGCCAACTCCCTTACTATTATCTGCGTGAAACAGTAAATAGAAACAAGTAAAGTTCCTGGTCAGAGAGGCTTCTCACAGTAATTTAGCAAAAAATCTTCTATTGCTGCAATTTCTCTCTCATAACAGTGAGGGCCAGAATTCTTAGTATGAGTGACTTCACAGACAAGAATCACAGTTTGTTAATCTTATTTGTTTTTATAAAAAAAGGAATACTCATTATTTGGTACATTTTAAGGTCCCTCTCTTAATAGAGTCAAAAATAGAGCTTTAAGAGAACATCTACAATCTGAGGCAGAAGGCAGCGTAAGTAAGCAGTAAAGGACCATGAAGGAGGTCAGCAGGCCAAGGGAGTATAGTGTTTCCGAAGCCAGGGCAGGAACTTAAAAGACAATGTCATCGGAGTCAAACACTGCAGTCATGTGGGGGACTGGGGCTGCACACTGCATAAGGACTCCTGGGAGGGAAATGTCCACAGTGTGTGGGGAGTAGAAGTCATGTTGCAAGACAAAATGGTAGCAAAAACAAGTATAGACTCCTTAAATATGCTTGGCAGTACAGGCAGAACAAGACAGCCCCTTGATTACTACAGAAGTGCCTCAGGTTAAGGGAGACAGAAGGATGTCTTCAAGAACACACACAGTAGAACAGACTTGGGAAAGGCAACCATGGAAGAGGGAAGGTCAATGGAACTGGGCTCCAAACGAGGCAATCAAGAGCCCAGACAGATGCCCAGATTCTGTATGAAGGAAACAGAAGCCCAGAGAGTAACAACAGGAGGTTGAATAGAAGTAAGCTGAGGGAGTTCTTGTCACTGTCCTGGATCCCGCTGGACTAGGAGAAAGGTCGTCACTGGGAGTTAAGAATGATACAAAAAACTTAAAGAGGATGAAAACCTGTTCACGCAGAGAACAATGATACAGGAACCAAAAGCAGTTAAATAGCATACTACTGGGCAGGACAAAGCATCACCAGTGGTTTTCACGGGTCCCGTTAAGTACAGTTTGCTGTTTGGTCTGAATAATCCATAGCAACGTTCATTTGCCCCAGAGGAAAAAAAATACGATACTCAGGGTTGAAGAACAGCAGCCAAAGCCTTTAGAATAGTAGCAAGGACATGAATAAACTGACAAATTATACAGGCCTTCCCTGAAAAGAAGTGAAGGCAGGAAAGAACAGACTGGGTGAAAAGCCAGGGTAGACAGCATGGAGACGTGGAAATGTTCTGGAACAGACTGTGGTAATGGTTGCAAAACATTGAGAATATACTAAATGTCACTATGGGAAATTTTATGTTACGTGTATTTTACCACAATTTTTAAAGATTCTGTGAACGAAAGATCGATCACTCATAATCTAGCCCCAAACTATCTTTTCAATCTTAGCTTCCTATGCACCTACTGCAAATTACCTGTTACTATTGATTTGAGTGCTTATATGCCAGGTCCTAGAGAAAATATATGTACGTGCAATCTTGCAGATCAGTGGTTCTCAAACTTTTTGGTCTCAGACCCCTTTATGTTCTTAAAAATTATTGAAGACCCTGAAGAGCTTGTGTCTACATAAGCTATAGCTATTGATATTTACCACCTTAGAAATGAAAACTGAGAAACTTTTAAAATACTAATTCATTTTAAAACAGTAATTACCAATTACCTGTTACTGTAAATAACATTTTTCAACCAAAAACATATAGGAAGATAAACGGCATTGTTTTGTGTTTTTGCAAATCTCTTAAACATATGGTTTAAGAGAAAATAGTTGGATGTTCTTATCTGCTTAACAACGAAAATAGCATGGAGAATAAGTGTAAATACGAGTAGGTTCAATAGGAATGACAGAAAGAAGAACAGGTAAAGACGAAGCCAGAGAGGGGCTTACAGACACTCACGTTACTTAGTTGTCACATTTTCTGTAAGTCTCTTAAGAGTCAGAGGAGACATATGCTAAACAGAGAACAGTCCAGATCACCTAAAGCAGGGCTTTTCAACCTGCATTTTGTGCCCCCCACCCCACCCACAAGGGGGGACATTTGGCAATGTCTGAACATATTTGTTGGTTGTCACAACTCACAGGGCAGGGGTGCTACTGGCACCTCAGAAAACGCTACTGGCAGTACTGATGCTATATATTCTATAATAATGGCCCCTACAACAAAGAATTTAATGGCCCCCACAACAAAGAATTATCTGGCCTAAAATATCAATAGTGCCTAGGCTGAGAAACCCTGTCTTAAACAAAACTAAAAACAAGAGGCTAAAGAGGTACTGTGTACATTTAAAAGGATTGGGTATTCTAGGTTAAGGTATGTAATTTCACCCATTCCAAATATAAAATAAATTACCTTTTAATTTGCTTAAGACCATTTCTGGTGATCTTAATGTTCCAGTCAAATGAAAATTTTATGTTAAAAGAAAAGAGAGGGAGAAAGAGAGAGAGAGATTGGGGGCTCTATGTTTCCTGGGTAGATGTACAAATTCCATCTTGTGTAATACTTTTTTGCTGTCCATTCACACAAACTCCACTGTAACTTTTGGGACGTATAAATATAGGAATAACTAATGAAATCAGAACAACTTTTCACAGTTTCTTTTCTTTTCTTTTTGAGACAGTCTTACTCTGTTGCCCAGGCTAGAGTGCAGTGGAACGATCACAGTTCACTGCAGCTTCGAACTCCTGGCTCAAGGGATCCTCCCACCTCAGTCTCCAGAGTAGCTGGGACTATGGGCATGTGACACCTTACCAGACTAATTTTTTTTTTTTTTTTTTTTTTTTTTTTTTTGAGACGGAGTCTCACTCTGTTGACCAGGCTGGTCTCAAACTCCTGGGTTCAAGCAATCTGCCTGCTTTGGCCTCCCAAAGTGCTGCGATTATAGGCATGAGTCACTGTGCCCTGTACATGCCACAGTTTCTATCAAGGTAATGCCTCAGGCTCCTCACTCAAATCTTATCAGAACACTTGCTACTTCTCAGGCCCAAGGCCTCACTAGAATGCAGAGCATCTACATTTCACACACTGCAGGGATGGAGAAGCAGCCTATTCCTACATATGTGAACAGTTCACCTCTGTTTCTTCCCACAGAGCATACCCTCTTTTCTTTTTTTTCTTTTTGAGATGGAGTCTCGCTCTGTCGCCCAGGCTGGAGTGCAGTGGCGTGATCTCGGCTCACTGCAACCTCCAGCTCCCGGGTTCACACTATTCTCCTGCCTCAGCCTCCGGAGTAGCTGGGACTACAGATGCCCGCCACCACGCTCAGCTAATGTTTTTTATATTTTCAGTAGAGACGGGGTTTCGCTGTATTAGCCAGGATGGTCTCAATCTCCTGACCTCGTGATCCACCCGCCTCGACCTCCCAACGTGTTGGGATTACAGGCATGAGCCACCTTGCCCAGCAAACAAACTGTCTTTTCTAGATTCCTCTATGAAAGACTGAAAGATAGAGACTCTTATTTTCATTCCTCTAACGCATTCATTTTCAAAGTGTAGTATACACTACCCTGGGAGGTCTCAAGATCCTATCAGGTGGTCTGAGAGGCCACAGATATTTTCATAATAATATTAAGATATAATTTTGTCATATGTACCGTGGTGACTTTTGCACTGATGGTACAAAAGCAGTGGTGGTAAAATTGCTGGTGAGAGTACCAATCAAGGCAGGGCCACTCAACTGTACTGATGCTCACTGTATTCTTTACTGCCACACCAGCAGAAAACAAGTTTCACTTGAGAATGTCCTTAATAAAGAACTAAAAATTATGAATTTTATTCATTGTGACCAACTCTGGCCCAAAAACATGCTTTTAAACATCTGAATCAGTGGCATGTATTCATTAAAATCTGTATCTAGGCAAGGTATGGTGGCTTACGCCTATAATCCCAGCACTTTGGGAGGCTGAGGCAGGCGGATCACTTGAGGCCCAGAGTTCGAGACTAGCTTGGTCAACATGGCGAAACCCTGTCTCTACTGAAAACACAAAAAATTAGCCAGGCCTAGTGGTGGGCGCCAGTAATCCCAACTACTCGGGGATTACAGCAACAAAGTATGCTGATGATCTAGAAGAAAGAAATGTCATCAAGTTTTAGTACAACACTTAATTCACAATATATGAAAGCTCAATTTCAATGAATACGATGAATACAAGCAGAGTGTTAAGCAGGAGAATTGAGGCAGGAGAACTGCTTGAGCTTGGGAGGTGAAGGCTGCAGTGAGCGGAGATTGGGCCACTGCACTCCAGCCTGGGCAACAGGAGTGAAACTTCGTTTAAAAAGAAAAAAAGAATCTGTTATCTACGGCTTCTCCTGAAAAATCAGGACATCTGGCAACACTTGGCTCATATTCCCATGTGGCACATACTGGCTGGCACTGAAGAGATGTCCCCCTGGACCAGGCAGAGGGCCTCTGGTTCACTGCAAGGTCATACTCATTACCTGCGTGGCCTCCAAGGGCTTCTGGGCATGTGACCCTGCTTAACCATACCTCCACCCATATGGGAGTGACCCTTTTGGTGAACCAGCTGTGCACACAGCACAGCATTTATTTATAATTCTCATTCCTTACTAAATACCCTGCAGGTCTGGCAATTCCCAACTGCCAATTAGAAACTGGAGTAACTGCCAGAGTCTTGCTTTCTTTGATCAGTGACACATTAAATATGGCTCCAATCCCACTCAATTCTGTGAAAACTAAGAAGTACTCCATGTTTTCTCTGGGAGAAAACACCACCATGCCCGAACAAAGATTAATGGCGTGGGCCAAAAGAAGCTTAAATTCTACTACCCTTGGTGTGGTTTGGCTCAGGTTCAAAATGACTTAGGTGTTAAACCAGGCTTGCTTTCAACACCAGACAGATCTATGATCCTCTTAAAGCTCCATTAATGTCTCTTCTAAAAACTCAAGTGCATTTGTGAAAACTTTAGAACTCTGTCCCAATCACGTTTAAGAGACTCCTCTAGGGAGTCCCTAAGATATTTTTGGATTGCTCTTGGACTGAAAACAAACTGTAGAACCAAAGCCAAGGGCTTTCAGTAGGATCATTTTTGCCAGGATAGACCAATGCACGACCCACGTCTCTTAGGGTTCCCAGATGCACTTACTGGTATGCCGTGACCTTGAAAGCGCTGCACATTCTCTTCAGGAAGAGGGGTGGGGACAACAAAGTATGCTGGCAATCTAGAAAAAAGAAATGTCATCAAGTTTTAGTACAACACTTAATTCACAAAATATGAAAGCTCAATTTCAATGAATACGATGAATACAAGCAGAGCGTTAAGCAGACGGGACCATATTTCCCTGTTGAGAACCAGCTCAGAGGAACTGCTGCTCTCGGTGTGGCATAAAGCACTCTGGACAAATCAGTGGGGAATCTAAGTCCAAACTGTGGCTCTGCCTGTGACTCTGTACAACCCCAGGTAAGTTATTCTACCTCTCTGGGTCTGTTTCCTTGTTCAGAAATGAAGGGATAGGAAAATATGATACCTAAAAGCATAGAATTATGAAATTGGGAGTATTATTCTCATCATATAGTAGCCAAATAAGCATCTGTGTTGTTTTCAGTTAAACTAATAGGAAAAACAGTAATTATGATGTTTGCTGCCCAGACATTTTATCAAGTGCTCTGACAAGAACATTTAAGTGCTACTGTGTACCAACCACTGTTCTAATTACTTAACATTATCCATTTAATCCTCCCAACAATTCTATGAGATATGTAATATTATTTCCATCTTACAGATAAAGCAACTGAGACACAATGCTGCTAAGACTCTCCCCTGGTCACACAACTAGTTAGCATACAGTGAAGCAGGGACCTGAACCCAAGCAGTGGAACTTCAACTTCTATAGGAGAAAATTTAGTCTCTAAAAAGAACCAACTTGTTAAGTAGTAGGACATGGCAGAATGAAAGATCAAAGTTACATGGGGACATCATCTCTTAGGCAGCAGATGCAGGTTTCTGTTAATAAGAAAACTGCCTAAGTTTCTATCACTGTGAATCTGTAAGAATCTGTAAGCATCTTTCCCTCAAAGAGCTTGAAATAAAGACGCACAAGAAGTAAGGTGCTTATGGTGTTAAGTTACAACGGAAAATAATCAATGGCGTTTGTATGCATGCTGCATGTGTGATGTAGATCAGTTCATAGGAGATGGAGCAACAAATAAATATTACCATGGGGCTGTGATCATCAAAACCTAAGGTGTGGAAAACTATCAGTCTAGTTTCTTCAACACATTGCAAGAATAATATGATGGCTTGAAAATCTACAGATGAAGCAATTTACCAAACCTACCAATCTCACTGAATCTTGATTAATTTTAAAAAAGATTAAAAAGATGACAGACAAATGGTTTAAAAATCTGTAAGACACGGCCGAACACAGTGGCTCATGCCTGTAATCTAGCACTTTGGGAGGCCGAGGCAGGCAGATCATGAGGTCAGGAGATTGAGACCATCCTGGCTAACATGGTGAAACTCTGTCTCTACTAAAAATACAAAAAATTAGCTGGGGGTGGCGGCAGGCGCCTGTAGACCCAGCTACTCCGGAGGCTGAGGCAGGAAAATGGTGTGAACCTGGGAGGTGGGGCTTACAGTAAGCTGAGATTGTGCCACTGCACTCCAGCCCGGGCAACAGAGCAAGACTCCGTCTCAAAAAAAAAAAATTGTAAGACACTGGGGAAAATCTGAACAGTAACTGGATATTAAAAAATTAATGGGACATTTGAAAGGTGTGGTAATGGTCTTATGGTTATATTTATAAAGAGTCCTTAATTCTTAGAAATATATACTGAAATATTTGTGAATGAAATGCCACAAACTTTGGAATTTATTTCAAAATAATCCTGGCTGGGCATGGTGGCTCACGCCTATAATCCCAACAGTTTGGGGGCCAAGGTGGGAGGGCTGCTTGAGGCCAGGAGCTTGAGACGAGCCTTGGCAACATAGTGAGACCCCACCTCCACAAAAAAAAAAAAAAAAAAAAATTAGCTGGACATGGTAGCACATACCTGTAGTCCCAGCTACTTGGGAGGATCACTTGAGCCTCCAGGAATTCAAGGCTGCAATGAGTCATCACTGTGCCACTGCACTTAAGCCTGGGTGACCCTATCTTTAAAAAATTAAAACAAGATAATCCAAGAGGAGGTGAAGGAGGTGGGGGTATAGAGAAAACAAAATTGGCCATCAGTTGATAACGGTTGAGTCTGGGTACTTTAGGGTAAATGGGAATTCATCATATCTTCTTTCCTTTTATACTGCTTGAAATTTTGCATTTAAAAAAACATCGGCTGGGTGTGGTGGCTCACGCCTGTAATCCCAGCACTTTGGGAGGCTGAGGTGGGTGGATCACGAGATGAGGAGTTTGAGACCAGCATGGCCAAGATGGTGAAACCTCGTTTCTACTAAAAACACAAAAATTAGCCAGGCATGGTGGTGGGCGCCTGTAATCCCAGCTATTTGAGAGGCTGAGGCAGAAGAATCGCTTGAACCCAGGAGATGGAGGTTGCAGTGAGCCAAGATTGTGCCACTGCACTCTAGCCTGGGCAACAGAGCAAAACTCTGTCTCCAAAAAAAAAAAAAAAAAAAAAAAAAAAAAAAACCTTGGGCTGGGCATGCATAGTAGCTCACATTGTAATCCCAGAATGTGGATCACCTGAGTTGAGGAGTTCAAGACCAGCCTAGGCAACATGGCAAAACCCCCCCTCACTACTAAAAATATAAAAATACAAATATAGATAAAATATAGATATAAATTTTTTATAGTCATATAAAATATAAAAAATTGAGCCGGGCATAGTGGCGGGCACCTATGGTTCCAGCTACTAAGGAGACTGAGGCGGGAGAATCACTTGAGCCCAGGGGGCAGAGGTTACAGTGAGCAGAGATTGTGCTACTACACTCCAGCCTGGGTGACACAGCGAGACCTTGTCTCAAAAAAAAAAATCCAAAACCAAGAAATCTTAAGTAATTAATGAAGAAAAAAGTTCCAATAAGATTGTGATGGAAAACCAGGTTTGGGAACTAATGGTCACTAAGACACTTCAAACCATCAAAACTGTGAAGAATGTTTGCCTTCTGAAGTTCTGAAGTACTTGAAATATTTATTATAAGTCTGCCTGAACGGGTGACTGGTAAGGCATCCCTTTTTCAGGTGTAGTCACTGAAGTAAAAACCTCTTCACAGATCAACTGCTCTTAAAACTCAGGCTGCTCATTCAAATCAAGTGGGAAGATTAAAAGATTACCAATGTCCAGGCTCCATCCAAGAACTATTAAATCAGAAGCTTAAAAGCTCTCCAGGTAAGCAGTTGGGATGAACACTGTTGTTCCAGAAGAACCTGCTACTCATAGTTTCAGCAGCATGACCTGGAAGCTGATGAGGACTGCAGACGCTGCAGCCTCCCTCAACCTACTGAGTCAGATTCTGAATATTAGACAGGAGCCTCCAGTGATTAGATACACATTAAACGGAGACGCACTGCTCTAGATGGTAACTTACAAACAGGCCACTGTTTCTCAACCTTTTCAGGACAGTCAACTGTGCAGTTGTTCAAACCAGATCCTGAGCTCCTTCCTCAGTGGCTCATGCTACAAAGCTGGACTGGGGCACCATGGTTTTAAAAAAATTTCCATGTCTTCCCCAACTAGTGAGGTTGAATATTTTAAACTATTAGTTCACTGGTTGGTTTTCTTACAGATAGTCTTTCAGAAGAAGGAAAAAAAAAAAAAAAAAAAAAAAAGAACCAAATGTATTGGCAAATATCCCATCCATCACCTAGCAGAGGCGGCTATACAGAAACGAAGAATCCTGCAGTCAGTGAGGGGTGTGGAAGGTGTCCTCTCCTGACTACTTAATTCCAGGTGGATTCCACGGAGTCCCCACTGTGAGATTCCCATTGGATAAAGCAATTAATCCTCCCTCCTTGGAACGCAGTCATTTCAGTCATTAAGATGAGTTTAGAACACAAAGTAAACAGTCCCTGCAAATACAAGATGACTTTACTCATGGAAAGTTGTGTATCTACTCAGGCACAACCACCCAGAACAGCAATGTCTTCCTGTGCCTGCAAACATTCCTAGGTCCCTCTGTGTGGTACACACTCCATAAGGCCACATACCATCCTATGCGTTTACAGGGAAGTGGGATGAAAGAAAGGTTAGGAGAAGAATGAGAAAGAGAAGACACCTGTGGCACCGAAATAGCCAGCTCTGACCTTGTGGGAAAGTGAAGTAGATAGTTCCTTGTTCTTATCCAAACTGACTGCAGGTCCCCCTCTAAACACAAAGAGGGCTTTTTCCTTCTTTCTCCTATTTATTGAGCTCCTCTTAGAAGCCAGTCACGGTGCTGGGTACTGAGGATATAACAATGTGCAAAAACAGCATCCTTTAACTTCACAGAGCTGTAGGCTGCAGAAACTCACATTAACTAAATGATACAAAATAACAACAGGCTGGGCGCGGTGGCTCAAGCCTGTAATCCCAGCACTTTGGGAGGCCGAGACGGGTGGATCACGAGGTCAGGAGATCGAGACCATCCTGGCTAATACGGCAAAACCCCGTCTCTACTAAAAATACAAAAAACTAGCCGGGTGAGTTGGCGGGCGCCTGTAATCCCAGCTACTCGGGAGGCTGAGGCAGGAGAATGGCGTGAACCCAGGAGGCGGAGCTTGCAGTGAGCTGAGATCTGGCCACTGCACTCCAGCCTGGGCGACAGAGCGAGACTCTGTCTCAAAAATAAATAAATAAATAAAATAACAACAAACTTGCCATTGCAGGGAGTGCTGTGAAGAGGGGCAGACAGAGCAATGAAAACTCAGAAGGACATCTGACTTAGTCTTGGGAAAGCCCGCAAAGAAAGTGGTACCTGGGGCTGGGCACAGTGGCTCAAGCCTGTAATCCCAGCACTTTGGGAGGCTGAGGCGGGCGGATCACTTGAGGTCAGGAGTTCAAAACCAGCCTGGCCAACATGGTGAAACCCCATCTCTACTAAAAATACAAAAATTAGCTGGGCATGGTGGCACACGCCTACAATCCCAGATACTCAGGAGGCTGAGGCAGGAGAATCGCTTGAACCTGGGAAGCGGAGGTTGCAGTGAGCCGAGATCATATCACTGTACTCCAGCCTGGGTGACAGAGTGAGACTCAGTCTCCAAAAAAAAAAAAAAAAAAAAAAGCGGAAGCTGGGGTAAGATCCAACTGATGAAGTGGAGTTAATTATACTTGTGCAGTTAGAATCAAAAAGGACTTCCAGACAGGAGCCTGCGGGCAAGACCTGTGGCAGGGAGGTCAGTATGGCCGAGGGGTGGGACACAAAGCTGCAGTCAAACCATGAGGGGCCTTGAGAGTGCTTGTTGAGGGCTCTGTTCTATACCAAGAACAGCAGGAAGCCACTGAAGCTGGGGACAAGTGCCATGAGAGGCGTGTGGAGTAGCTTGCTTGGCATGCGACATGGAGAATGGATGCTGGGGCACCAGTGGATGGGGGACACCATGGAGCAGAGACTACAGTGGTCCAGGGGGAAACAAATCAGAGCTTTTCCTGTATATTTCTAACATGCTAACATCTATGCAAATGCCAACTAATTAGTATGTGGCAGGATGTTTTTTAAAAACAATTCTGGGAACTTACGTTAGTATCAACATCTTATTACAAACTATTATCTCCTAGGAGCAGGGGTTTCTAACTTCTTTCTGAGCAAGGGCTAGCTTTATCCTTTCAAGCTTTAAACCAGCAAAGAGAAAAGAACAGGGTGTGGCTGATAATGAGGTCCTTGGTGGGGGTCACGACCCCGGCAGGCCCTTCCCCACCATCACCACAGCTCATACTGTGAAGGGACTGCAGGGCAGCGGTGAGGGGGGCCAGTGGCGCAACCTTGTAAATATTGAGAATGATCAAAATCAAAACTGATGACTGAAGAGGCCTATCAGAACCATGATACAAAGAGCTCCACAAAAATACAAAGTTGTATGAATCTGTTAATAGGGTGTTAGGGAGTATGTTCCAAAATGATAATATTCAAGCTTCTGAAAACAGATTATACAGTCATGCTTTAAAAATGTAGGTCAGCCAGGTGCGGTGGCTCATACGTGTAATCCCAGCACTTTGGGAGGCTGAGGCAGGCAGATCAGTTGAGGTCAGGAGTTCAAGATCAGCCTGGCCAACATGGTGAAACCCCGTCTCTACTAAAAATACAAAAATTAACGGGGCATGGTGGCAGGTGCCTGTAATCTCAGCTACTCAAGAGGCTGAGGCAGGAGAATCACTTGAACCCAGGAGGCAGAGGTTGCGGTGAGCCGAGATCACACCACTGCACTTCAGCCTGGGTGACAGAGCAAGACTCTAGTCTTAAAAACAAACAAACAAACAAAAAATGTAGGTCAGATCATATCTGCCTCTGCTCAGCCTCCCTCTCACTGTCCTCCCAACAAAGTCTCTGGACCCATTATCTCCCACTCCTCTCCTGTGCTTGCTCCTCTTCCACCCCTGGGCTACTTGCTGTTCCTCACACAGGCCTTTGCCCTTATTCCTCCCTTCACTTGGAATGCTCCTCCCTCAGGTGTCCTCTGACTCAACCTTTCACTTCCTTCACTTTCCTATGCTCACAAGCTACCACGCAAAACCTTACTCCCACCATGCAAAACCTTCCCGACTGACCCTCCCATCATCACCTCCAGCAGTCCCTAACCAAGTGCTGGATCTGTTTTTCTCCACAGCACTTATCTTTTAACACGTTATAATTTACTTCTTTATTCTACCATCATCTTCCTCCCTCCAGAATGATAGCTCCAGGAGGGCAGAGGTTTTCAGGTGCCCTGTTGATTGCTGCCATCTCTAATAGCTAGGACACTGCCAAGCACATGGTAGGCACTCAAAAATTTTTGTTGAATGAATAAAAGAAGTACTCAATAAAAGGGAAGAAAAAGGCCGGGTGCAATGGCTCACGCCTGTAATCCTGGCACTTTGGGAGGCCGAGGAGGGCGGATCACGAGGTCAGGAGATTGAAACCATCCTGGCTAATAGGGTGAAAACCTGTCTCTACCAAAAATACAAAAAATTAGCCAGGCGCGGTGGCAGGCGCCTGTAGTTCCAGCTACTCAGAAAGCAGAGGCAGGAGAATGGCGTGAACCCGGGAGACAGAGCTTGCAGTGGGCTGAGATTGCGCCACTGCACCCCAGCCTGGGTGACAGAGCAAGACTCCATCTCCGGAAAAAAAAAAAAAAAAAAAAAAAGGTAGGGCACGGTGGCTCACGCCTGTAATCTCAACACTTTGGGAGGCCAAGGCGGGTGGATCACAAGATCAGGAGATTGAGACCACGGTGAAACCCCGTCTCTACTAAAAATACAAAAAATTAGCCGGGCGTGGTGGCGGGCGCCTGTAGTCTCAGCTACTCGGGAGGCTGAGGCAGGAGAATGGCGTGAACCTGGGTGGCGGAGCTTGCAGGGAGCCGAGATCGCACCACTGCATTCCAGCCTGGGTGACAGAACAAGACTCCGTCTCAAAAAAAAAAAAAAAAACAGGGAAGAAAATATACAATATAAATTCAGACATGCTTTTTTTAAGTTTTACACTTAGAGATACAATAATGGCAACAACAATAAAAAGATACAAATATACGAATTCATTTTTGAGTATTTAAGAGACACTTTAAGATTTTCTTTAAAAACCTAGAATGGCTGGGCACAGTAGCTCATGCCTGTAATCCCAGCACTTTGGGAGCCTGAGGTGGGAGGATGGTTTGAGTCCAGGAGTTTGAGACCTGCCTGGACAACATATTGAGATCCCAGTCTCTGCAAAAAATACAAAAATTAGCCCAGGTTTGGTAGTGCACACCTGTAGTCCCAGATACTCAGGGGGCTGAAGTGCAAGGATCATTTGATACCAGGAGGTAGAGGCTGCAGTGAGCTGTGATCACGCCACTGCACTCCAGCCTGGGGGACAGAGAGAGACCCTGTCTTAAAACGAATAAATAAATAAGTACGTAATAAAAAGCTAGTATTGATGTAGAGAAATAAACTCTCATACACTATTGGTAGGAATGTAAAATGGCACCGTCTCTGTGAAAAAGTCTGTAAGTTCCTCAAAAGGGTAAACACAAATTTCCACAGGATCTGGTAGTCCACTTCTAGGTAGTATACCCAAGAAAAATAAAAACATACATCTACACAAAAATTTGTAATTGAATGTTCATATTAATATCATTCATGGCCAGGCACGATGGCTCATGCCTGTAAGTCTAGAAGTTTGGGAGGCCGAGGTAAGAGGATCGCTTGAGCCCAGGAGTTCAAAACCAGCCTGGGGAACACAGTGAAACCCCATCTCTACAATAAACAGAAAAATTAGACAGGCATGGTGGTGCACGCCTATGGTCCCAGCTACTCAGGAGGCTGAGGTGGGAGAATCACTTGAACCGAAGCAGAGGTTCCAGTGAGCTGAGATGGCACCACTGCACTCCAGCATGATGCAGCATGGGTGTCAGAGCGAGACCCTGTCTTAAACAAAAACAAAAACAAAAAACCAAAACACGTTATTCAAAGAGGCAAAAAGTGAAAATAACCCAATTGTCCATCAACTAATAGATGGATAAATTAAATATATCCACAGTATGGAATATTAGGAATAAAAAAGAATGAAATTCTGATACAAGCTGCAAAATAAATAAACTTCGAAAACATCATGCTAAGTGAAAGAAGTCATAAAAGATCACATATGATATGATTCCATTTATATGAAATGTTCACAATAGGCAAGTTTATACTGACAGAAAGTAGATTAGTGGTTGTCTAGGGCTGGGGAGGAACAGAGAGGCATTCAGGGAAAATGGGGAGTGACAGTCAATGGGTATGGAGTTCTTTTTTGGGATGATGAAAATGTTCTAAACTGACTGTGGTAATGACTGCACAACTCTGTGAATATACTAAAAAACAATGAACACTTTCAATGGATGAATTGTACAGCATGTGCCCAGCATGGAAAGCTTACCTCTCACAGACTTTATAGCCTTCGTTGACACTCACTGCTTTGTATTTCATGTTGCCTTTGGTCCGTTCCAGTTCCCAACACCAGTCCTTAAGTGTGTCAAACATTATGGTATGGTTCTTGGGATCAGTGACTAAGAGAACAAAATGTAAAAGACGATAAAATCCTTCCATGAAGCACTGGTATTTTCATTATGTGACAGTCCCTCCTTAGGTTTTGGTTTCCTCCACTAAGCCCATTTTTATCCAAGCAGAATAAATTGATTGCTTAATCCCAACCTTGTTCCATTTTTTGTCATTAATCCAAAATTATGACTGAGTCTCTGTCTTTTTTTTTTTTTTTTTGAGATGGAGTCTTACTCTATTGCCCCTGCCGGAGTGCAGTGGCCTGTGGCGCCATCTTGGCTCACTGCAACCTCCTCCTCCTGGGTTAAAGTGATTCTCCTGCCTCAGCCTCCTGAGCAGCTGGGACTACAGGAACGTACCACCACATATGGCTAATTTTTGTATTTTTAGTAGAGATGGGGTTTCACCATGTTGGCCAGGTTGGTCTCAAACTCCTGACCTCAAGTGATCCACCTGCCTCAGCCTCCCCAAGTGCTGGGATTACAGGAGTGAGTCATCACACCCGGCCAGCTCAGTCTTTTTACATTGTAGGAACTGAGTTCCACTCCTTGGAAAAGTAATTTATAGCTCCATTTCTAGTCATCTGATCATGAGTTAATTTATATAACACAAGAAGATCATGCGAAGCACTAAAATATAGGCTTGGCACAAATGCTAAAGTGACAAAATATTTTTAGCCCTGCCAATGTGTGCATAAGACGGCCAACTAATTTGAATAGTATCTCAGGCTCTTCAATGTAAATCCTCCTTCAGTTTGAAGATGCACTGCTTGTAAGAGGATTTGTCTAGTGTGACAACTGGTTACTGAAGGTCATAAACAGATGATAGCCATGGTGAGGATCAGGGCCTGCTAGCCAAGGGCTGAATCATGGTTATGGGCACGTACTTCTATCCCCAACCCAGCCCTGCCACTACCTTCTAGGATAAAATGCCCTGGAGCACTGCTCTTGCAGACTAGCAGATCGTCCTTGGTCTTCTCCCAAGCCACAGCACTGCTTGCCGGGTATTTACACATGTACCACAATAGTCTTGAGTATATACACAACTTCTATCACAAAGAGTTCAAGTCTTTGCACATCTAAAAAAACCAAGCCTTCTGGGAAAAACAAAGTGTTTACAAAAATTACCCCAGCTCCTTTTAATAAAACCAGATCATAGCAAAAATAAGAATGATGATGATGATGATAATAGTTAGTGCTTATATAGCACTTACTAGGTACTGTTCTGAACACAACACCTTTTTTTTTTTTTTTTGAGACGGAGTCTCGCTCTTTTGCCCAGGTTGGAGTGCAGCGGTGCGATCTCGGCTCACTGCAACCTCTGCCTCCCAGGTTCAAGCGATTATCCTGCCTCAGCCTCCTGAGTAGCTGGGATTACAGGCACCCACCAACACGCCTGGCTAATTTTTGTATTTTTAGTAGAGGCAGGGGTTTCCCCATTTTGGTAGGGCTGGTCTTGAACTCCTGACCTCATGATCCACCCACCTCGCCCTCCCAAAATGCTGGGATTACAGGCATGCGCCACTGTGCCCAGCCTATATTACATTTTATTAACTCAATCCTCACAACTCTATAGAATAGATAATACGACAGGTATGATCATTTCCTCCATTTTACAGATATGGCGCAGAAAGGTCAAGTAACTTGCCTATGTCACAAAGCTAGGCAGTAATGGAACTGGGATTCAAACCCAGGAAACTACAGAAGAAATTTCTGTAAAGTTCTAATCCTGCCCCTCCAAATCCCACCAAAAAAAAAAAACTTTACCACAGTAGGCCATCTTCTAGGCAATACAAGAAGTCCTTCCCTAAAATGCCATGTCATGAGCATTTAGGACCTTCCAACCTAAACACATTTGTGAATTATGAAGCCAGGGAATAATTAAAGGCATCAAATTGCAAAGCACCCACCTCTACAAACCCCTATTCAATGAAAAAGCTATTTGGTCAATTAGCATCTATGAGTTATAACCTTTACTTCTCAAAAAAAATGAGGGCTGGAAGGAAGTAGAAGAAGAGTGGAATTAAATCAGAATGAAAGATGCTATTAATACATATCCTGGGCCTCTGGCGCAAAAAGCCACCAGAAGGTAATGAAACTGCCAAGGTCGATCAAGGTAAGGGTTTTGGCATGCTGATCCACATACGTTGGCAGGCTGAGAAAGTGTCCTATGCTGGGTACAGAACAAAAATCAGGATACAAGGAAAATCAGAATTCCTGAAAGGAGAACACGATTTTGCAAATGTGCACTCAATAAATGTTCATACAAATTATAGTAATCAACAAGTCATCTTTGTATATGTCATACTGCCACAAACTCTAAGTCAGCACCCAGTTAATCAGCACTTGTATACATAACTACAGTAAAAATCTGTCATTCACAAAGATAAACTTAATGAATTAAGGGACAAATTTTATGTTCAACCTAAAATTACTGGGAAGTGTATTTTATGTCAGTGTAATTCTCTGAGCATAATCCATCCTCAATAATATGCAGTTTTACTCTCAATTAACTCCCAATTAATGACTGCACCTTATGTGCCATCCATTAACAATTTATAGTTCTCACAAGACTTAATGCTGCTATTTTTAAAATAAAGCAGAGGTTTTCTTATCTTAACAGAGTTAAGTGTCATCCCCAGGATCACACAGCTAGAAAGCAGCAAGGCCAGGATGTGAACACAGGTCAAATGGACACCAAAACCTATCTATACCTTTTCTATGAAATCACCATAGCTCCCAAAATGCAGCATGCTCTATGAGATAGCTACATCTCTGTACACGCCAATCCTTCTGCCCAAAATACTCCTTTAAGCCTACCAGATGCTCCACTATCTACTAAGGCCCAGGCTTCTCCCCCGATAGTCCACCCACCCCCAGAGGGTGGATGCCTCCACAGAGGACACATCACTCAGCTTCCTCTCCTATATGACTTTACGCTTTTTTTTTTTTTTTTTTTGACTTTACACTTCTTGAGGGCAGGGATTTAGTCCTGTTTATCTCCATATACCCACAGAGCTTGGCTCACAGCAAGCAGTCAATACATATTTACTAAAAGAACGGATAGTGACAAAGCAACTCTGCCTTCCAGAAAGCCCTATGACAAAGCCTTGTGTGCTTTTAAAAGAAACTGCTAGGCTGGGCATGGTGGCTCATGCCTGTAATCCCAGCACTTTCGGAGGCCAAGGCAGGCAGATCACTTGAGGTCAGGAGTTCGAAACCAGCCTGGCCCACATAGTGAAACCCTGTCTCTACCAAAAATACAAAAATTTGCCAGGCGTAGTGGAATGTGCCTATAATCCTAGCTACTCAGGAGGCTGAGGCAGGAGAATCACTTGAACCTGCGAGGTGGAGGTTGCAGCGAGCTGAGATCCCGTCACTGCATTCCAGCCTGGGTGACTGTGAGACTTGTCTCAAAAAAAAAAGGAAAAAAAAAAAAAACCAACAACAACAAAAAAACGCTGCCACTTCCCTGACAAAAAGTACATAGGACTCAGGATCATTCAACATCAACTTCATGTTAAGAGTAATGGAAGGAGCCAGGCGAGGTGGCTCACACCTGTAATCCCAGCACTTTGAGGAGCCAAGGCAGGAGGATTACAAGGTCAGGAGTTCGAGACCAGCCTGGCCAACATGGTGAAACGCCATCTCTACTAAAAATACAAAAAAATTAGCTGGGTGTGGTGGCACACACCTGTAATCCCAGCTACTCAGGAGGCTGAGGCAGGAGAATTGCTTGAACCTGGGAGGCAGAGGTTGTAGTGAGCCAAGATCATGCCAGCACACTCCAGCCTGGGCGACAGAGCAAGACCCTGTCTTGAAGGAAAAAAAAAAGGAATAACGAACAGGTCCTTGAACCTGTAATCCCATCACTTTGGGAGGCCGAGGCGGGTGGATCACCTGAGGTGAGGAGTTCAAGAGCATCCTGGCCAACAAGGTGAAACCCTGTCTCTACTAAAAATACAAAAATTAGCCGGGCATGGTGGTGTGCGCTTGTAATCCCAGCTCCTTGGGAGGCTGATGTGGGAGAACTGCTTGAATCCATAAGACGGAGGTTGCAGTGAGCCAAGATCATGCCACTGTACTCCAGCCTGAGCGACAGTGGGAGACTCCATCTCAAAAAAAAAAAAAAAAAAGAAGAATGGACAGAACAAGTAAACAGACTGAGGCAAAAGAACAAGAAGAAAACAGACATCTGTGAAAACACATCCAATGCTAGGCATTGTTAATGGCTAATTCAGATGACCCAGAGTTTTGTTCTTAAAAGATTGCTCTCTTTTTCACCAAACTGAATGAAAAACACTGGGAACTTTAAGTTTTGTCTTACTAAATTAGTTGCTGGATGCGCTTTTCTTATGTATAACTGTGTCCCATTCCCCCTAAAATATTTGCTATAAAGTATGCTCTGGTTGTTTAAAAACTTCCTAGAATGCAAGAAATTCTCTATAGTCTTATGAAATAAAATCAAGTATATTTAAATAGAAAAAAGAAACCAGGGACAAACATGGTTATTTTAAACGTTTCTCAATTTTGTTTCCCTATAGTCTCACATTCCTAGTTATAATATATTGATCTTATTTTTCTTTTTTTGAGACGGAGTCTCGTTCTATTGCCAGGCTGGAGTGCAGTGGTACAATCTTGGCACACTGCAACCTCCATCTCCCAGGTTCAAGCGAGTCTCCTGCCTCAGTCTCTCAAGTAGCTGGGATTACAAGCGCACACCACCATGCCCAGTTGATTTTTGTATTTTTAGTAGAGACAGGGTTTCACCATGTTGGCCAGGATGGTCTTCATCTCCTGACCTCATGATCCACCCACCTCAGCTTCCCAAAGGGCTGGGATTATAGGCATGAGCCACTGTACCCAGACCTTGATCTAATCTTTCTTAAGATGTAACCAATCAAACAATCCCTTGCAAAAAGCAAGCAAACAAACCTAAAAGAAGGTAAACAAAGATCACAGGAGGCCTGGCCCAGTGGTTCAAACCTGTAATCTCAGTACTTTGGGAGGCCAAGGTGGATGGATCACTTGAGGTCAGGAGTTTGGAACCAGCCCGGCCAACATGGAAAAACCCCATCTCTACTAAAAATATAAAAATTAGTCAGTCATGGTGGTGGGCACCTGTAATCCCAGTTATTCAGGAGGCTGAGGCATGAGAACTGCTTGAACCCGGGAGGTGGAGATTGCAGTGGGCGGAAATCACGCCACTGCACTCCAGCCTGGGCTACAAAGCAAGATTCCATCTTTAAAAAAAAAAAAAGAAAATCACAGGAAAGAAAATGTAGATATCTGAATGAATCACTCAAGCAAGGGGTGACCAACTGGTAGAGGAGACACGAAAAAACAAAACAACCCATAGATGGGTTTTCCCCCACTGGCTTCAGGTGGGAATTGGAAGGCTTCTGCTTACCCTCAAATTAGAACCCAGAAGATATTTACCTGTATTGTTTTGTGCAGCAGTCGCATAGGAAAACAGAAACAATCGTTTAAGCAGTTTAGGAGCCTGGGTATGATGAATTATGCCACTGACAATCTAAAAAAAAAATCGAACAATGGATATAGTTATGTTTTTGACAGATAAACACTAAGAGACAAGAGTCAAGGTGTCTAGGTTCTCAGTCATGCCAAAGGGGTTCCAATGGATCACACATTAATTCTCATTTGAGATCTGTATCTATGACATTAGTTTTTGAAAAAATGCCAAATCAACAGGACGCTACCATTTTGTCAGGTTTTCTTTCTTTCTTTTTAAAAAATTTTTATTATTTATTTTTTTCTTTTTTCTGAGACAGAGTCTCACTCTGCTGCCCAGGCTGGAGTGCAGTGGCACGATCTTGGCTCATTGCAACCTACGCCTCCTGGGTTCAAGCAATTCTCCTGCCTCACCTAGAGTAGCTGGGATTACAGGTCTGCATCATCATGTCCGACTAATCTTTGTATTTTTAAAGACGGGGTTTCGCCATGTTGGCCAGGCTGGTCTCGAACTCCTGACCTCAAGTGATCTACCTGCCTCAGCCTCCCAAAGTGCTGGAATTACAGGCATGAACCACCATGCCTGGCCTATTATTATTTTTGAGACAGAGTTTCACTCTTGTTGCTCATTGCAACCTCCGCCTCCTGGGTTCAAGCGATTCTCCTGTCTCAGCCTCCAGAGTAGCTGGGATTACAGGTCTGCATCATCATGCCCAACTAATCTTTGTATTTTTAGTAGAGACGGGGTTTCACCATGTTGACCAGGCTGGTCTTGAACTCCTGACCTCAACTGATCTACCTGCCTCAGCCTACCAAAGTGCTGGAATTACAGGCGTGAACCACCCTGCCTGGCCTATTATTGTTATTATTATTTTTGAGACAGAGTTTCACTCTTGTTGCTTATTGCAACCTCCGCCTCCTGGGTTCAAGCAATTCTCCTGCCTCAGCCTCTTGAGTAGCTGCAAATACCCACCTTGGCCTCCCAAAGTGCTGGGATTGCAAGCATTGGCCACCGTGCCCAGCCCCGTTTGTCAGGTTTTCTAAGAACTCTTAATTTCTAGGGAAAATTTTAAAACATAGTCTAATTTCTCAAAAACAAAGCGCCAAAAAAGATAAGTGCCACATTAAGTCAGATACTCCAAAACTCTGACATGTCAAAGACTTACAACTGATATCGGATGATAACCAAGACATAGCTGTTCTGATCCATTGTTGAGGCCTTTAGGACCTTCTTATGGAAGATAAGGGAAAGAAATCAATCTATCGCACTTTCTGTTTGTCTACCATGTGAAACTAAAGTGTATTTGGAAAAGTGACTAAAACCATTGTTCAAACTGAAGTTCCTGTCTTCTCAGGAAATTTTCTGTATCTATACTGTTCTTTTCTTGCTCAGAATAGATACCAGTCATGTTTATTATTCTAACTGAACTACCACACTCTCTTAAAGAAAATTAAGGAGTTACTACTACCTGTGCAAACTCACTGTAGCCAAGACAATATACATGAACAGGCCTCCTGCTAGGTTTCCCCTGATGTATTTATACCATCAGAGGGAAAAGTCTGAGATCAATATCTTAATAAGAGAAATCTTGGATACCACTGCACTTCAGCCTGGGTGATAGAGTGAGACTCAGTCTCCAAAAAAAAAAAAACAAAAAAAAAAAAACAAAAAAAAAAAAAAAAAAAAAAAACTTAGAAATTACAACAAATATCAAATTGATACAACTACTTTCTGACAAACTGATACAACTACTTTCTGACAAACTGATACAACTACTTTCTCACCCAGCTGCATATCTCAACTTGCTGTGGCAACCAGGATATTAAGTTTACTTAGTCTCCAAAAGCGTATCTGATTATTTGGCTTTGCTCATCCGACCTGTATATTTCCTCCTTTCCATGCACAACCACTACCTCCCACAGGTAAACTCATTTACTCACAGAAGTTGGAATTCTCCATCACTACTATCTTGTGGAAAGACTGTCATAAGTGGGAGAATAGGGATAAACTTTTAGCTGTTTCATCCTTCCTTCATTTTCCCCTACCGCCTCTTGACCTGGTTTACCACCTCCCACCATTTAGTGGCTCCAGGAATAAAAACATTATGAATTGAAGTATTAAAGGTACCATGTGCCAAGATGATACACAGGCATGCTTTATCAAACTACCTTTCACATTCTAATCAAAGAATATGGGATTACAACCAATTTCAAGTTCACAGAGTGAAAGCCTCCCTTTAACCTTCATGCAACGTAAGCAAAAACTAGAGCTAGTGGGGAAAACCTGATGGGAAATAAAACCTAAAAACACATGCAACTAGTTACCCTTTTGACTTCCTCTTCCTTTGTGTACCTCAGACAAAACTGGAACACTCGAAGGTCTTTGCAGTGGATAATGAGCTTCTCAGGGTATTTCTTCAGTTGTCCAAAGAGAGTTTTCTTTTTCTCATCAAACACTACAGATCAGCAATGAAATCAGGAAGGGAAATTATGTTACACAGCAATAAGTGAATGCTAAAGAAATGAAGTCGATGATCAATTTCTAGGGATACTTCCCAAGAATGAGAGGAAATGTGCTGCCTGCCTTTTAAGTGACTGCCAAAGGAAGCCCAATCTCTTCCAGCAGGGGCCCTGGCTCTCTGAGAGCAGTCAGGGTGCTTCACTCCTCTGGAGTAAGCACAAGAACGAACAGACTGGCCACTGTTGGCAGAACTGAATCCAGTGGCCCAAAGAAAACCCACTATGAAAGCTGATCTTATAAAAGATGAAAGGGAAATGACTAAAGACATGCTTTCATGACAGTCAACTCCTGGGTTTACAGCTAGGACCTCTCCTAAGACCCCCTCACTGTCCTAGAATTTGGACCCACTCAGCACCTAGTAGTCTTGAGAACATCATAAATGATCACTGAACGATTTCTGAAGATGCCCCAAATACAAAAATAGAGAAGTGGAACAGAGAGAGGCTTGGCAGGAGAGGCTTGTTTAGTCAGCAGAAAAGACATCCTAATGCAATACAACAGACCTTTTAATCACAGCAGCCTATAAAATAAAACCTACACAGCTAACTCTGATTTCAGAAAGTCTGATCAACATCTAGCATATAATGGCATCGTGTGAAATATTAGAAAGAACAGGTTCCAAGTTCAAATCCAAGCTCCTCTAGCTAAGTGACCCTATATAAACCACTATACATCTCAATTTTACCATCTATAAAACAGATTTAAACAAGATGATATATGTGAAAAAAATTTTTTTAATTATAAATGGTCATAAAAATATTATCATCATTATCAGCTATACTCTCAAAGGTTGCCAACACCCCAAGGGAAAACAGATACTTACCTCCATAAATCTGATCAACACAGTGGAGTGTAATGTCATTTTCTCCTACAACCTTATTCTTAAATTGAGTTTCCTAGAAGATTCAAAAGGAAACAACTGTGACTCCTCTGCATACTGTTAGACATTTATAGGCAGAGTAAATCACCATTCTCTACCTGGATATTAAGAAAAATGGGGAAATGTAGCAACATTCCTAAAAAAGGGACAATGAAGTGTGTGAGAAAAGCTCCTGAGATTCATTCTGAGACAGGGTTTAGCTCTGTCACTCAGGCTAGGCTAGAGTGCAGTGGGGTGATCTTGGCTTACTGTAACCTCCACTTCTCGGGCTCAAGTTAACTTTGCACCTCAGCCTCCTGAGTAGCTGGGACTACAGGCACACTCTACCTCTCTCAGCTAATTTTTGTGTTTTTTTAGAGACATGATTTCAGCATGTTGCCCAGGCCAGTCTCGAACTCCTGAGCTCAAGCAATCCACCTGCCTCAGCCTCCCAAAGTGCTGAGATTACAGGCAAGAGCCACCGTGCCTGGACCAGAACATGCCATTTCTGGGCTCCTCCTAGGCAAACCCACCATGCCACACACAATCACTTTGAGAAGTGGGGGGAAGTTATGTACAGGTTAACATTTCTCCACACAAATGTGAATAGGGGATTGACAGAGCTACCTGAAGTCAGCTTCAGAAAGAACAAGAGATTCACGTTTCTGGTGAATGCTCTTTGTACAGGACTATGAACCAAGCCCAAGGCCAGATGGAAGAGGCAGCACTGGTGCTGCTTTTTAAAAACCAAGGGTGATCTGGGACAGTTGGCACACTGGGACCAGGACGTGCCTTGGCTGGGTTTCCACTAACATATGGTGCTCTCCTAGTGGTATGGGCAGTTCTCTCCTTACTTAATTGCTCATTCTTCATGAGTAGGAACAAATTTCACAAGGCCACTGCTACAGGTTCAGATTTAACATAAGGTGAGCTGGGTAAGGCGGCTCATGCCTGTAATCCCAGCATTTTGGGAGGCCAAACCAGGTGGATTTCTTGAGCTCAGAACTTCGAGACCAGCACAGGCAACATGGCAAAACCCTGCCTCTACCAAAAATAACAAAATTAGCCAGGCGTGATGACACACGCCTATGGTCCTAGCTACTCAGGAGACTGAGGTGGGAGGATTATTGGAGCCACGACTGCACCACTGCACTCCAACCTGAGTGACAAAGTGAGATCCTGTCTCAAAAAAAAAATTTAAAAACACAACAAAACAGAGTGAACCTAAGGTCAAAGGCTGCATTCACCATCGGTTTCATTACTGACTCAGTTCCTAGGTTTTTTTTTTTTTTTTTTTTTTTGAGACGGAGTCTCGCTGTGTCACCCAGGCTGGAGTGCAGTGGCACGATCTCGGCTCACTGTAAGCTCCGCCTCCTGGGTTCACGCCATTCTCCTGCCTCAGCCTCAGAGTAGCTGGGACTACTGGCGCCCGCCACCACGACCGGCTAGTTTTTTGTATTTTTTAGTAGAGACGGGGTTTCACCATGTTAGCCAGGATGGTCTCGATCTCCTGATCTTGTGATCCACCCGCTTCGGCCTCCCAAAGTGCTGGGATTACAGGCTTGAGCCACCGCGCCCGGCCAGTTCCTAGGTTTAAGGAAGAGCTTAGTATAGAGAAAACGTTGGGGAACTAGTATATTTGGAAGATGTTATTCCAGTGGGTGGAATATATTGCACTGAAATACAGAATAAAATTAAAAATTGACAGTGTCAACATATGAGGTCAAAAGCAAGCCAGTATGACATGAGGCACAGGTGAGAAATTTCTAAACGGTCCTGCTACTGAAAGGAGATCCTGAAAGACAGAGAGCAGGCCAGTGATGAGAAGGACTCTGTCCTTTGTGTTTATTTATGTGGAGCGGTGGGGAGGGTGCGGATGGTGGGAAATGGAGTAACTGAGTAGCTAGGGGGAAAAAAGACAACAGAGCTACAACTGTACTATTCCCCGCAAACTTCACCAGATGCAGTTCATACATGCAGGATTTCTGTTCTTTGTGTTTATGTGTGTTAGAGGGTAGAGTAATTGAGAAGCTGGAAGAAAAAGACAACAGAACCACAACTGCACTGTTGCCCGCAAACTCTGCCAAATGCAGCCCATACATACATCATTATCCAATGCAGATTCATCATCGCCCAAGAAGGCAATCTTGAAGTCTGTGCAGACAAGCCTCCCATAGATGCCATGCTGACAGGAATCTTCCTGGACATACTTCAGTACTGTGCTGGCTTCACAAAGCAGCTGTTCACCTGATGGAATCCAAAACAGGTCCTCCTTAAGAGTTCTCAGGGAACACACAATATGTAAACACTGAAGGCTTTCCAGCCCTATTTACATATGGACAAACACACAATACAACACAGGGCTTCAGAACTTTACACTTTTCAGCATGGCAGGAGCTGCAAAAACATAGGAGAGAAGATGAGGCAGAGTGGAAACCACCAAGAAGTGAAATTGAAATGGCTCAGATACACCTCCAGGCAGGACATTTCTATCTTCTCACTGGGAATAATGGAAATGTCCAAACAGGTACTAATGATCTGAGCTGCACTTTCATGCAGAAATCTTAGTGTTTTCATTACTTGACCCAAGCAGATGTTCCACAGAAGCAATACCCTAAGTGAACACAGATGGTCTTGCTCTAGTCTGCCCTAAAAAACGCAGATCCCAAGCCCACTTTCCTGTGAAAGGGGGCAGCTTCTAATACTGGAAGTGCTGAGAGAGAGTGGCAGTGCCTTCCTGGCCATGGGGCTTCCAGGCAGCTTCCATAGATCCAAGAGGTGCTGCAGCCTTCCACAGCATGACCACCCTTGTTCTGGCTCCACGCTGGGAGGAAAACAGAGGTCAGAGGTTTGTGGGGAAAAAACGTGTTTCCTCTCTTTCTTAGTTAAGCGTATTTCCTTTCAGTGCGTCACCTCTCCTGCTCCATCTGCAACACCCAGCTGATATGAGAAACTGCAGTCCCTGGAGACAAAAAGTATCCCTCCTTGCAGTCAAAAAGATGAGGATTGGGGAATAGGTCAGTATTCTCTGCCACCTGGAAGCAGAGGAGTCAAAGAGAAGACTATGGGGGAAATGAAAAACTAAGTATAAATGTTTTGTAACAACAACAACAACAAAAAAACCTAAAGATTTTTCTTCTCATGCAACAGACAACCATCTTCTTGGAATCTCCCTCTTGATAGCTCCTTCAAGGTCTTTAAATTTACTTTTTGGCTCAAAATTTATTTAGTCTACCTTTCAATATGAAAACAAACAGTTTCAGACACTCAGAAGGGACACGTATTATGGTGGTGTTCCCTCATCTTTCAAGGGGTTAATTACCTTGGGCTGAAACACTAAGGAAACACCGGAAGATGGTTCAGTCACTAGGTCAGCCTCTCGAGAGATCACAGTTTGAAGGAAATAATGAAGACAGGGCCTCATTAGGGTTTAAAATAGTCCCAGAAAAAGTGTCTCTGCCAAGTTCATGGGAGAAGACATGTGAGCAAGGTTTCCTGTGCTTTCAACTCCCAATGTGAAACACCTTTTAATGGTAAGGCTCCCCCCAAGACCAGGCCAGCCCCATCCGATGCTCATGTACTAGAGACCAGAAATTAGCATGCACTAGCTAATACAACATTCCTGGTGAGGCCCTCTGCAAACATAGCATGCTGTGCCATAATCAGCTGGTTTATACCATATCAGAGTCTAGAAGCACAAGAGTTGGGAGCTAGAAATGATCTTTGTCTAGTTTACGAAACTAGACTCAAAGAAGTTAACTCTGAACTCACCACTGCACACCTACACCTAGATAAGACTGTGAAGTAATTTAGGAGAGGGGAGAATATGCATAATGCTAAGCTAAAAATAAAATTTCCAAATCTATAACCCCAAGAAGAGGCAAAACAAGAGGAGATACGGTTTAAGTCATCATTATAGAAAAAGTCTTTGACATTTAAAAACATCAAAAAAAGTTACAGAATTCTTTTAGCAAATAAGGTAGATCAGTCAGAAACTTGCACAGATTTATATCCCCTCAATAAACTGGAATAAAATAAAAAGCAGCAGAATAAAGCCTGTATTGTTTTGGGGAAATGTACCTAAAAAAACTTATTTTGAAAAAGCTATTTTGAATTAGGAAAAAGAAAGTAGAAAAAGAATTAAATACATGGATCACAGAATATCCCATATATGGAGAGGATACACCACCAAGTGGTTTCTATTCCTGAACATGGAAATGATTAAAACTTAACTTAAGCTAAAGTCACTGTCCTCTATCTCAAAAATATTCAACCAATCCAGGCTCCTTCACAATGACTGCAGGGTGAAGTGCTGGCAGCCCCAGGGCTGGTAAACCCCAGCGTCCCCAGTACATGTGCTCACATGTACAAGTGGGTATGGACCAAAAGGTAAAGTCACCCACCAATGGTTGCCTTGGGAGGCCATGGCAGTTGAATGGTTTTCCTCAATTTCCTACAGATTGGGGATCAGCATGCTGGAAGAGGCCATATTAAAATGGCCTGAAAAAGGCCTCATTAGATTGTGAAAGCAGTGAGAATATCCCAGGTTTATTTTCATCAGCTTGGGGGAAGAGGAAACAAGAAAAATTCTTTGCAGATGTTGTAACACTCAGACCCAGGTGTGTAGTTATTGAACTAAAAACCTTGATATGTTTGTTCAATTCATTACTGTCATATGTGGGAGGATGAAAACAAAGGAGTTTAAATATAGTAAGGCTAGGGATGATGTAATTTATCATTGGCTTTGCCTTGCATAGGAGTTACTATGCTAACATGACAGTTACCTGGCAACAAGTGAAGAGTTACTTCCTTCTCTGTTACTTCCTTTTCGTTTGTGTGAATTTCCTAAAAGAGAAGAGCAAAGGATATTTTTCTTTGTTTAAGGGTTTAAAATGAATAACATTAAGCTGTGCTTTCAGAATACACACTAAAATATCACATATCCTCAGGAACTTTTCCTTTATGTTACAAGCTACCTTTTCTTTTCTTTTCTTTTTTTTTTTTGAGACAGAGTCTCACTCCGTCGCCAGGCTAGAGTGCAGTGGCGCGATCTCAGCTCACTGCAACATCTGCCTCCCAGGTTCAAGTGATTCTCCTGTCTCAGCCTCCCAAGTGGCTGGGACTACAGGTGTGTGCCACCACGCCCAGCTAACTTTTTGTATTTTTAGTGGAGACAGGGTTTCACCTTGTTGGAGAGGATGGTCTTGATCTCTTGACCTCGTGATCTGCCAGCCTCGGCCTCCCAAAGTGCTGGGATTACAGGTGTAAGCCACCATGCCGGGCCCAAGCTAAATACTTTTTAAAAACGTTTTTAACTAAAGGAAGACAGAAAATTCCAAGTTATGGATATTTAATGTATTAAACTAATTATTTAGGACCGATAACTAGTAGCTGTCCCAAGTAGAGGTGGAAAGGCAGGCGCTTCTTATCTCTCCTTATCTAAGGAACAACTTGAAATGTCACACAGCAAAGCAAGGTTCCTCAAACGCACAAAGAAAAGAGATGGCAACGGCCGGGCGCGGTGGCTCACGCCTATAATCCCAGCACTTTGCAAGGCCGAGGTGGGTGGATCACCAGGTCAGGAGATGGAGACGATCCTGGCTAACACAGTGAAACCCCGTCTCTACTAAAAATACAAAAAATTAGCCAGGGGTGGTGGAGGGCGCCTGTAGTCCCAGTTACTCAGAAGGCTGAGGCAGGAGAATGGCGTGAACCCGGAGGCGGAGCTTGCAGTGAGCCGAGATCGCGCACTGCACTCCAGCCTGCGCGGCAGAGCCAGACTGCATCAAAAAAAAGAAAAGAAAAGAAAAGAAACGAGATGGCCCGGTGTGGTGGCTCAACCTGTAATCCCAGCACTTTGGGTGGCCGAAATGGGCAGATCACTTGAGGTCAGGAGTTTGAAACCAGCCTGGCCAACATGGCAAAACCTCGACTCTACTAAAAATACAAAAATTAGCCAGGCATGGTGGCGGGCACCTGTAATCCCAGCTACTTGGGAGGCTGGGGTAGGAGAAACACTTGAATCCCAGGGGCAGAGGTTGCAGTGAGTCGAGATTATGTCACTGTACTCCAGCCTGGGTAACAGTGAGACTCTGTCTCAAAAAAAAAAGAAAAAAAAGGAGACAACATGCCACAGCATGATCTCCTCTCCTCCCAGTGAGGATCAAGGGTTGAAAGCAAAAGATGATGTGTTCTTGAGAGAATATGGACATATGAATAAGGCTCAAAGGTAAAAATAGGAAAACATGAATGTATTGAGTCAGTACTGATCCAGCTAATCTATAGCACACCAGGGCTCAGTAAAGAGAGCTGGAACATTCTTTGTCCCTTCAAAGTTACCTAAAACCACAAGACAGTGCCAAGAGATATAATCATTTCTAATAGAGAATCAAGGCCAGGTTCTGTGTCACTGCTTCTCAGTAAAAATATATTCAAGTGCCTCTATTTGGGGCTTAGTATTTACTGGATATTCAAAGATAATTAATTACAAACATGAATGAATTAACAGACCAAAGCAATGATCATATATGGCTGTTAACATAACAAAGAGAGACACCACAGGCCTCCTAATAAAGTGCACCGCACCATCCATGAAGCGTTCTTGCCAAAATATCTAACCTCAATCTCTTTGAACTTCCATGGCAATCAGCCAATTTATCAAAAACACTGGGACAGAGAAACATGTTAAATAATAGTGGGGATATAATCAGTCAAATTCTGATTGTGGAAAATTCTACAAGACACAACCAGTTTCGTCAACAAATAAAATCAGATTTTTTTTTTTTTTTTTTTGGTAGAAGGCCCTGGGTGGGAAGTTTTCTGAATTTGTTAATTCAGACTGAAATATGGCATTAGAAGAAACTTGGGTACAGCCTATCTTGAGGTTGAAGAAGAATGTTATGGCTTTTCCTGAGAACCCATTTTTGAGCATCGAGTAAATTGGAGGTGATAAGATGCCAATAAACCAAGTCCATCTGAGGCAGTGTGGTCAGATCACATGGGGAGCTTGTTATCTAAACACTCTCTGGCACCCATAAGCCTGCGGACTTACAGGGCAGGGATGCAGGCTGGCCCTCTGATTTTGTAAAAAGTTCCCCAGATGATTCTGAAGTATTGGTCTGGGGCTTAAGCAAGAGGAACTATTGTTGCGTGTTAAAAACGATGAGTGTTTTGGTAATTTAAAAATTCTTGGCCAGGTGTGGTGGCTCATGCCTGTAATCCCGGCACTTTAGGAGGCCTAGGTGGGCAGATTACCTGAGGTCAGGAGTTTGAGACCAGCATGGCCAACATGGCAAAACCCCGTTTCTACTAAAAATACAAAAAAATTAGCCGGGCATGGTGACGGGCACCTGTAATCCCAGCTGCTCAGGAGGCTGAAGCAGGAGAATTGCTTGAACCCAGAGGCAGCGGTTGCAGTGAGCCAAGATCGTGCCACTGCACTCCAGCCTGAGCGACAAAAGCGAGACCTGGTCTCAAAAAAAAAAAAAAAAAAATTATCATTGCGAGTTTTCCTCATGTTATTGACAAAGAACTAAATTAAAGCACAATTTTTTTTTTTTTTTTGAGACGGAGTTTCACTCTTGTTGCCCAGGCTGGAGTGCAATGGTGCAATCTCAGCTCACTGCAACCTCTGCCTTCTGGGTTCAAGGGATTCTCCTGCCTTAGCCTCCCAGGTAGCTGGGATTACAGGCATGCACCACCATGCCCGGCTAATTTTGTAGTTTTAGTAGAGACAGGGTTTCTCCATGTTGGCCAGGCTGGCCTCGAACTCCCGACCTCAGGTGATCCACCCACTTGGCCTCCCAAAGTGCTGCGATTACAAGTGTGAGCCACCACAGCCAGCAAAGCACAATTTTATTTTTATTTATTTTTAGTTTTTTGAGAGGCAGTCTTGCTCTGTTGTCCAGGCTGGCGTGGTATGATCTCGGCTCACTGCAACCTCTGCCTCCTGGGTTCAAGCGATTTTCCTGCTTCAGTCTCCCAAGTAGCTGGGATTACAGGTACCTGCCACCAAGCCCAGCTAATTTTTGTATTTTTAGTAGAGCTAGGCTTGCTGGGCGTGGTGGCTCACGACTGTAATCCCAGCACTTTGGAAGGCTGAGGCAGGAAGATCACCTGAGGTCAGGAGTTCCAGACCAGCCTGACCAACATGGAGAAACCCCATCTCTACTAAAAATACAAAATTAGCTGGGGTGGTGGTACATGTCTGTAATCCCAGCTACTCGGGAGGCTGAGGCAGGAGAATCGCTTGAACCTGGGAGGCGGAGGTTGCAGTGAGCCGAGATTGCGCCATTGCACTCCGGCCTGGGCAACAAGAGCAAAACTCCGTCTCAAAAAAAAAAAAAAAAAAAAACAAGTTATGGCTGGGCGCAGCAACTCACACCTATAATCCCAACACTTCGGGAGGCTGAGGTGGGAGGACTGCTTGAGCCCAGGAGTTTGAGACGGGCTTAGGAAATACAGTGAGACTCATCTCTACAAAACAAACCAAAAAATTAAAATATCATCCAGGCACGGTAGTACAAAAGCCTGAAGTCCCAGGTACCTGGGAGGCTGAGGTTAAAAGATCACTTGAGGCCAGGAGGTCAAGGCTGCAGTGAGCCATGACTGCACCACTGCATTCCAGCCTGGGAAACAGAGCAAGACCCTATCTCAAAAAAAGTTACTAACCAAGGATCTGCAAGCCCCATTAAACTCACGGCCTACACTCTTCACCGCTATGTACCATTCTAACAAACATGGTCTCCAGTTTCCCATTGCAAAAGAGAAAATCAGTGTAGCATCCATTGCTTGTGAAGGAAACTCTTACTACAAAATTGATCAGAACAAGTAAGAAAAATTCCGTTAGGAGAACTGTACTTCACGTTCAAGGATCTGTCACACACAGCAGCAGTCCCCAACCTTTTTGGAGCTAGGGATTGGTTTCACAGAAGACAATCTTTCCACGGACCTGGGGTTGCTGGCAGAGGGGCAGGGGATGATTTTGGGATGAAACTGTTCTACCTCAGATCATTAGACATTACTTATATTCTCATAAGGAGTGTGCAACCTAGATCCCTTGCATGTGCAGTTCACAATAGAGTTCATGCTCCTATGAGAAACTAATGCTGCCACTGATCTCACAGGAGGTGGAGCTCAGGAGGTAAAGCTGCTGCCCCCTACTCCTACATTCACCTCCTGCAGTGCTGCCACAGACTAGTACCAGTCCCCAGTCTGGGGGGTGGGGACATACAGGACAAAAGCATATGGACGTTAAAGTCAACTGCCACTCCTGAGGACTTGCTGAGAGGCAGTCTGGTGGTTTTTACTTCACTGGTTCTTGAAAAGCCAATTCTTTGGATTCTTACCAAGTTCACATTCAGAGTGCACATCATCTCAAATGTGTGATGATCCTGGGGCACCTTAGGAGAGGTAGAAAAGAACTGGGGTGGGGTGTGTGGGGGTACAATGAAGCTCTCATAGGTCAAAACGCTTAGAAATGCTCCTATCAGCTTTAAATCAAAAACTGAAATTGTTGTTCTCAGATTAATTTTATCTAGCCAGAGGGACAAATTCTAAGAAGCAACATCTCTAAAGGTTCCAAAACAATTTATTTCCATTGCATTTGACACCAAAGTGCTAAAAGGACATAACACAGACATTTCATTTCCTAAAAGTTACCCTACTTTTCTAGAATGAACACTTAATACTCATTTTTTCCAGCTAAGTAGAAAATCTGAGGGAGAAAATGAATTTGCATCTACATATTAGGTAGGTATCCATGTATATCTTAAAACAAAATTTTTTAAAGTAGAAAGTTGTATTTTTTATGCAGCATAGTACTAATAATTTAAGTTTTTGTCTTT